GTGTCTTAAAACAATCCGGCATTGATTCAGATATGTATAGTACATAATCAGCCGTCACATCGAAACTAGCTAACAAAAATGTGCCAATTGATGTTATACTTCAGTCTGCAGTCTCAACATTCAATAGATTTTATTTCTAACCTCTATGTGAACAATTCAGTGCTTAAAATAATAACTTACGAGAATTTCTGTGTTAATTCAACAATAGACTTGATCAACACATATGTGTCGTATATTGAGAGTCTATTATGTACCATATATTCAAGTAGAATATACATGTACATATCTTTTTTATCGCAGTTAATTTCATGTTACTGTTGAAGTTTATATTGTTATTGTTAACGTTCATATTGACGATATTGTGGAGTTTTACGTCCTACTTTTCTGCACCATGTGGGCTAAAGATGACGGACAACGCCATGCAGGGTACAATGAAGGAAATTTTGCCAAGACAGCGGCATTAGCCTGCTCTTTTTCGATTTTCAACTGTCGAGGGATCTTTAACGTGCACACCCTGTGGCACACGGGGCCACGGTTCATTGTCCCATCCGAAGGTATAATCTCGCCCCTTCGTACGCAAACCTTTTAATGTCAGATTGGGAACGTGAGGCGCTGCCCCTCTGCCCATTTGGCCCACTTTTTACGGACGCTTTTTGGATGACATTTTTATGGTTTGGACTTGGATTCTATCAAACAGTTTTTGGGAATACTTAGTAATAGTGTAATTCCTTATCAATACCTGAGATTAACGTATCTATGATAAAAAAAAATTGAAATTTTAGGTAATTTATTTCGTAATATTTACACTACATATATCTACAATGACGACAGTCCAAATATATTAACATCTATTTAACTCTGGTAAACTATGTTACAAAATATTGTTCGTATGACTTAACAAAATAAGGTGCGGTCTTTTCCTTGATTTTACCTTGATCTTTAAAGTGGAACTACAATATTTTCTATCCTTCACCCAAAACTATTGTAATAATTTACTATTTTAAATAAAATGAATAGAGATAGATATAATGATTAAAATAAATAAATAAATAAATAAATAAATAAATAAATAAAATAGATAATATAAATAAAATGTAATTCAATAGACGATCTCACCCTAATCCCAATTGAGCGTATAGAAATTGACTTGCCCGAAGATGAAACTACCAAATTCCGTCAATTTAGGGAGGCCCATTGGATTGAGACATTGAATACAGCAAGACCTATAGGACTAAATATTCATCATAATGTAGGCATAGCACCCTTTGTTGTCCCGTTTAATACAACCAGCAATCGAGCAAGCAAGATAGTTCATGCCCACTATAAGAGCCTTCAAGAGAAATTCCCCCATGTCTATAAGCAGAAAATGATAGTTGCATATTCAAAAAATAAGAACTTAAATGATAATATTGTTCATAGTAAACTAAAAACAATCAGTACATAACAGATACTATACTTCTCGCCCATCGGGCGAGTTATTTTTTCTAATTTCAGATCAGAATAAGAACAGAAGAAAACCCAATATCAAGACCCTTAATCCTAATTTCTAAATAAAGTGTCTGCTCCACCCTAGGCCTGTACATTTGGGAGAATCAAACCCTCCCTTCCCCGAAATCAAATGACTTACTATAAGAATCAGAAAAAAAATCCCCCTCCCATGATTCCATGTGTTTTTTAATCATTAAGATAATTTGTTTTGAGAAATATAGATTCAGTGAATAAATTACCTTTATTGGGTACCAAAGACATTTCTTTTTTACCAAAGCAGTCAGCCAAAGCTATCTTGAATCTGTCAAGAAAAATAAAGACTGAATAGGCCTATAAGATCCATCGCGATTTTTCAAAATCATAGGCCTACCAGTGATGTGAGTCTATCTAGAAAATTACCGAAACTTTGTCATTCTGGTTCTGGTGTTGAATTGGAAAGAAAATAAGAAAGAATTCTAAGACTATCAAACTAGGCTACAAACAATATAGTTTCAGTTTAAGATATGTTTCCAAAACTACAGTCAAACTAAAAAACAAAAACGATCAAAATATTACTTACAATACTGCCATTTAAAAACTGGGAAAATTGCAATGTAAAGTAATATTCTTGAAAAATTTATAAAAATTCCTAGAGAAAATTGCCAGCGTTCGTCTCTTTAGAAAACTTAAAGCTCTGTGGCAATTTATGCATATTTCATTATGACGTCATAATCAAGTTTCGTTTAAAATTAAGAGTTTTTGATTGGTTAAAAAAGAATTGAAACCATAGATTATAATCAAAAAATGAATAAAAATCTAACTTTGTGGACGTTTGATGTTACTGCCCGATTTTCAGTAAAGAATACTTTTCATCAAACTTCGTGGCGAAACTAACAAGAATACCTTTCAATATATCAGCAAAGTTTTTGATTAAAACAGAGCAACTACGGCAAATGCATGAGATACACAAACATAGCTGTCCAACGTTATATCAACATTATTTTCTGCTCGATAACGATTGAGTTGATTATCATTCAAGATTTATTAGGGTAGATACTACACCGGCAATGTCACAGTCGTCGCTAAAAAATAGGCACAGTACCTATTTAAGTCTTCGAAATACATTTGACAAAACTTTACACTTTGATATTTGGTAATCACAGTTTATAAGCGTGTGCTACAGCTATGCCCCACCCCTTCTCCTGCTTCACATAGCTTGCCCAAAGAGTGCCATTCCTGTGATGATGTTGTTATGCTAGGACCTTACTGGTTACGTGTAATATGTAGTGATAAACATAATATACCAAAAAACCGTGCCAATTTTTGCTGGTAATACGCCCACCATTGTAATGGTAGCCAAGTCATCTCGGCGGTTGACAGAACTATCAATAAATGAAATATTTCGAGAGTAACATTTTCATACTGCACAAGCTTTATTCAAAGATTTCTATTTTTTTTATTTTCAACAAGTTTCGTCTTAATCAGTCCAGAGTTTTACGAGCTAAAGATTGAACACATTTTTGAGAACACGGGCAAATAACCCATATTAAATATTTTTCGATTTTATGCTTTTCAATAAGGTTCGGGTGATTCAACCAAGTTTCTTTAAAATCTGTTGGGAATTGTGCCTTGAATGTTATTTCAAGAACAAGGGCAATAACTCATATTAAATAGTTTTTATGTTTTTTTTTTAAATATATCTTCTTCCTCACTGCCCTAATTCTCTACACCCCCGTCTCTTCTTCCTCATTGGTCCAATTCTCTACACCCCCTGTCTCTTCGTCCTTTCTGTCGCAACTCTCTACACCCCATCTCTTCTTCCTCATTGTCCCAACTCTCTACACCCCCGTCTCTTCTTCCTCATTGTTCCAATTCTCTACACCCCCTGTCTCTTCGTCCTTTCTGTCGCAACTCTCTACACCCCATCACTTCTTCCTCATTGTCCCAACTCTCTACACCCCCATCTCTTCTTCCTCACTATCCAACTCTCTACACCCCCATATCTTATTCCTAACTGTCCCAACTCTCTACACCCTCTATCTCTTCTTCCTTACTGCCCCAACTCTCTACACCCCCATCTCTTTTTCTCATTGTCCCAACTCTCTACACCCCCATATCTTTTTCTCATTGTTCCAACTCTCTACACCTCCTGTCTCTTCTTCCTCACTGTCCCAACTGTCTACACCCCCTGTCTCTTCTTTCTTACTGTCCCAACTCTCTACACCCCATCTCTCCTTCCTCATTGTCCCAACTCTCTACATCCCCTGTCTCTTCTTCCTTACTGTCCCAACTCTCTACACCTTCATCTCTTCCTCATTGTCCTAACTCTCTACACCCCCATCTCTTCTTCCCCATTGTGCCAACTCTCTACACCCCATCTCTTCTTCCTTACTGCCCCAACTCTCTACACCCCCTGTCTCTTCTTCCTTATTGCCCCAACTCTCTACACCCCCTGTCTCTTCTTCCTTACTGTCCCAACTCTCTACACCCCCTGTCTCTTATTCCTTACTGTCCCAACTCTCTACCACCCCTGTCTCTTATTCCTTACTGTCCCTACTCTCTACACCCCCTGTCTCTTCTTCCTTACTGTTCCAACTCTCTACACCCCCATCTCTTCTTCCTTACTGTCCCAACTCTCTACACCCCTATCTCTTATTCCTCATTGTCCGAACTCTCTACCCCCCTGTCTCTTATTCCTTACAGTCCCAACTCTCTACACCCCGTCTCTTCTTCCTTACTGTCCCAACTCTCTACACCCCGTCTCTTCTTCCTTACTGTCAAAACTCAAGACTTCATTTGCTACATCGGACTGGACTTCTACAACATTCTGAATTAATACCTAATTTTTATGAAATGTGAATGAAATTTAAATTAGACTATCAGATGCTTCACTGTTTTAATAAGTTAACCAAGTCGCAATGGTTTATGTTTCTTTTGTAAACCATGGGAAGAAAAAAAACATTTTATCTTTCAAATTTTTATTATAGACAATTAAATTATATTTTATCTATCAATAATTTCAATAAAAACATTTTATCCACTTAAATCACAATGTACTCTTTAGTCAATTTCTAAATGCCAGTAGTGAATGTATCCAAGATGAAGATACTTGTATAATGATTCATTTGATAAATATTTTCAAAAAAGCCAGAAAAAAAAATTCTAGCAAAATTTTTATAAGTTGGCAAAATCTGTAATTCAGAACAGACAAAAAGATCAAGATGGAATATTGCAAATTGGTTACTAGTGTTGGGTGTACTCTCCTATAGATGCACCGGTCAAGGTTACACGAATAGAACATATTTTCTTTATAGCAATTAACAATTAGAGTAATAAAGATGAAATTCAAAGTGTAATAAGATGTATGTTATAGCACTTGAGCTATATACTAGATGTTTCACTTTCTTGTTCACTAATTGTTAGCCCAGGAGCACAGGGATTTAAAGGCTAGAAGTTCTAAAAGGTCCATGGGACAAGAATTTGTGCCAAGCTCAGAGCTGTATACAGTTATAATTGGTATCTCTATTGTATCATTAAATAAAATATGGTCTCAGTTCTGAAGCTTCTTTTGACATTTCTTCCTTAGTTCTCAATGATTTACTCATATCTTTATCATGTTTCTGCAACTGGAAGTAAACCATATATAGTATTGATCAGACTTGAAACCATCTTCACAATATCAAGCTATTACGAACTTTGTACTTGCAATAGCCATGTAGTGTTTTAATTGGATTGAATTGCAAGCAACTACAGCCAATCAGAGTACACAACAGAAATGCTGTAAACATTTCTTCAAAGTCTTTCTGTTGAGGCGTTTAATCTGCTGTATTTGCAAGCTACAATCCAATTAAATTGCTTCATTTACAATCTTCTATGACACAAAAAAAGTTATTATTGCAGTCAAGGACGAAGTTTGTAATTGTTCAGTTAACTTTTCCAGATGTTTTTTCCAAAATGTTTTTCCTCAATGATTTTATATCTAAATAATTTTTTTTGAATGTTTTTTCCCAAATGTTGATTATTAATGATATATATATGTTACAGTCAATCTGTGAAATCAGCCATTTCATGGAATGCCTGAAATTTTTAGCCTTTTCATGAAATGACCAATTCACTCAGCCATTTCATGAAATGGCTAAAATCAAAATTCTTAGGGAAGGGCATGAGAATCAGGTGGGTTGATATATAAGAAGACTAATTTTAACAACTTTTTTTATTTTATAACTGTTTTGCACATTATTTAAACAACAAGAATAAAAATAGCACATTTATAATGTTCATGGAGTCATTTATTCTTACATGTAAGACTGCTGTGGCATCTACTATTTTGCACTTTCTTCTGGTGATTGTCTTTTCTTGATAAGCTTTTCAATATCGCCACACAATAGTAGTTCAAATTTTGACAGTAGGTAGTAATGGTGTCTTGATTTCTTGGTTTGAGGGTCTGCTGCCAACTTCAAGTCGGTGATTATCTGATAGTAAACGTTTCTAGGAATACTTTTGAAACAAAGCTTCTCTTAATTTAGTTAATTAAGGATTAATGGCAATGGCAATAAGCAAACATGGGGCTTCAATAAGCAACTCAGAGTCCTAAATGATTAGGATGACTTGTTACTGTATGGGAGAGAATCTTGTAAAATATAATAATATAGGATTAGGATAATAAGTGATTGAGCCCATATTCTACAATCAATCAAGTAAGCCTGCATTAATTAACCATTCATTAAATAAAAAGATTATATTTTTAGATAAGAATAAATTATCAAGTGCAAAAATCATTTGCATTGATTTAAAGATGTATTTGAACTGATAATCACAAAATTAAAATCATTTATAACAATTATTTGTCAATTATTTTATCAAACAAACTATACTATCAAAGTCCCTATAAAGCCAAAGATTATTACACAGATTGGCTGAAATTGCACCAGCCAATCAGTGTAACTTTAACATGGAAATTTCAGCCATTTCCTGAAAAGCCTGAAATATTTAACCATTTCATGAAATGGCTGAGTGAATTGGTCATTTCATGAAAAGGCTAAAAATTTAAGGCATTTCATGAAATGGCTGATTTCACAGATTGACTGTAACATATATATTCCTGTCAAGTTTACTCAATTAATGGCTTCGTGTGAATGCCAACAATGTGATTAGTTTTATGAACCTACAGTAGAAATGTAGATTACTTCCCAGTGACATAATAACTGAAATAAAATCTTTCAGTTTTCTCTTTATAGAAACATAATAATAGATATTTAAGTATCACAATAGAGGTTGCACATATTTTACCAATATGGTTCTGTTCAACATTCTGAATCTTATCAGGCGTGTCAAATAGAAATTTGTCTCTGAGAAGAGGATAATGCTGGTATATTGGACTATGTATTTTTTATAGCAGAATTTATGTTGGTGTATGAAAAAAGAAGAAAACCATTACCTCATCATAAATAGAATCATTCTTTTCAAAATCACCAGGTTTTCTTGGTAGAATATGAACATGAACATGCTGAAATATGAAGTTTTCATTAACTTTCAACAACTATGCAATCATAATAATATAGGCTATCTGCTATATAAAATTGTATGTCACTCTAAAACTGTACACAGTGGGGTAATGGGATGTGGGAGGCACATAGAAAAGTTATTTGTCATATCCTTTGTCAAAACCACCACATATATGGCAGAATGTACCAAATAAATTTAAATGAATGAAAACCTCTTCAGACTCACCATGGTTAGTCTGGTAGACAGAGTTCTTCAGAATCTATAAGGTTAATATACACCAGATCTGACATGAAAAAGTACAACACAACAATAGAAACAATATCTATTGCATAAACTATACATACTGGCTGCAGTACCACACAACACAGCAGAACATCCTAAGACACATCAAATCAAAATACAAAATGTACCATATTCCACAGGCTTTTTAGCACATAATAGCAAAATTATCTTTTAAGCAGATATTGTCACATGGAAATACTGAAGCAATATTTTATTGTGTTGCCTTTTCAGTAAAATGGTGTGTATTGAAAGATTGTGTTGTATTGTGCTGTGTCAAACTGTGTTGTACTGTGTCATGTCGGATCTGGTGTGTATAAACGCTCCTAGTTGTAATTCTTGTTAATTATGGTTCTTTCTTTCTATGGATTAAAGAGAACAAACCTCCACACTTTGACCAGCATCCACTCCATCTTGTATAGCTATAGTTAAAGCTGTACCTTTAAAATGTTTTTGACACACCTCTGATATCCTTCTAGTAGTATTAAATAAATCAGATGTTTCTTCAGCAGTCATTTTACTAATTTTTTCTACTTTTCTTATTGGTGCTACCAAGAGATCTGTGTGAAGTTTAGGAACTATGATACATGATAATTGAGAAAATTGATTATTGATATCAGTTCATGTGATATCCATAAGAGCTGGAATTTTCAGAGGCTGTTACCAAAGTCTATAAAAAGAAAAATAGCGATGCCCACATTTGTAATGGCAGCTAATTTGTCCGGGGGGTTGACAAGAGTTATCAGTAAAAATGAATGTTTCTGAGAGTGAAATTTTCATATTTCATGGGTTTTGTTTCCAGCTTTTTTTTATTCAAGTGGGATTAATTTAACATGTCAAGTTTCGTTTAATCCATATAGAATTGAATCTTTTGAGTGGCAGCAAGTGGCAAATCTTTGCGTTAAGACAGTTATATATATATATATAGGCAAGTAGCCCATTAGATACATTTGTCAATATATTGATGGTAAATAGTAAAATATTTGCAAAAAAGAATATTTTTTATTAAAAAAATAACAATACATCATAATTAATAATTGGTTGTAACCAGCACTCTATCGTGTCCACAAACAATTCAAGAACAAGGGCAATAACTCATAGTAAGTATTTTACGATTCGTCTGATTTTCAATAGAGTTCATCCTTGGGTGATTACAAACACTCACACCAAGTTTCGTCAAAATCCATCAAGAAACTAGCTCTCTATCATGTCCACAAACAGTTGTGGACATTGTGGACGGACGGACGGACACTGTAAGATATGGATCCAAACGATAATACAATATATCATTGTTAAACTGATAGACACAGTATTGCATTTATTGCATACCTCCTAAAGTCTCTAAAGCTCTCTACTATAACAGTTCGTAATATTACTCTCATTTGAGAAATGATATGGTTTGAAATACCTGAAATGCCCAAGAAGACACAACAAAATCATTCATTACCAAGCCAGATTCAGCTTTATGAATGAATAAACTTCAAGTATAAAAGGATACGTCCTGGAAGTACAGGTTTAATATTTACAAAACCATAACTTAAACCAGTTTTAATAAATACTTGTGTTGATTTTACTTGATATTGTCCAAATTCATAACAATCTCTATCATCTATATTACCTGAAAAAACAATTTAAATACAATATAGGTCTCAATATACCGTTTCTGTGTGTAACTTCATTCATTTTAGACCTCACAACATCACTAGATATCTCAAGTTCAATTCTTTAAGATTTTGGGAATAATAATTCATGAAAACCCTTAAACGCATTGTTAGTGCTGAACACAATCCAATAATGTAAGCTTATATCCTCAAAATGGTGGCTGATATATAACAGAACATCATTTTGATTGATTGGATTTGTAACCATGCTTCTTTATCAATGTTTTCATATCAAGCTTGAGTAAAGTAACCATATTTAAATCGGATAGAGTACGAATTGATGAAGATGAAATTATCCTATAAATTGTTAAATGAATTGAAATGGAGTTTTACTTCATACTCTTCTGCACTTAAAGGCTAATTAAGATGGGAAACACTGTGTGTAATAAAAAACATTTTGTCAGGAAAAGCAGGATTAACCTTCCCAGTATGACATGAGGCCTCGGTTATTCCATTCAATTGACTAGACATTTTTTCCATGTCACCCCCCCAACCTGCATCACTGACGGGTAAAAAATCTCAAAGTTGATGTTGACCTTTGCCAGGTAAATGACTGGCCAGGGCTTGTCACTGTATCCATGATAACAAAGTTATATGAAGTACCCTACCAGTTATAAATGTATTAATAGGTGAATATAAATCTGTACGTTTATGTGATTGAACTGGCATATCTTGACGTATTTTATATAAATATTCATGATCTATTTCAGCTAGGCATACATCTGTTCCATCTTTACACTGAGCTATAACAGTTCCCCATGGGTCAACAACCTACAAAAATTAGATCTGTTTTTGAAACTGTATTTTTAAAGATAGCTTGCCAGGCAAGGTAATATACGCCCACTGGCAGCTTTGATTTTGAATAAAAATATTTAGCAGTATAGTAACAATCACCATTATGAAATATCCAACCTTCTGTCATACACTTCTTTTGAACTCTTAAGGGCGATACTGAATAATATTGAGTATGAGTTATTTCCCTTGTTTTTGAAAACGTGTTAAATTTTTAGCTCAGCAAAACCCTAGAAGGAAAATCTTCAGCGCAGGACTGAATAATATAACCAAGTTTCGTCAAAATCCATCAAGAATTGTCCCTTCTAGAGTGTTTATAAGCTAAAAATTAAACGCGTTTTCAAGAACAAGGGCAATAACTCATACTAAATATTTTTCGATTCTTCTGATTTTCAATAGGGTTCATCCTTGGGTGATTAAAAACACTCACACCAAGTTTCGTCAAAATCCTTCAAGAATTGTGCCTTTAAAAGTGTTAACGAGCCAAAAATTGAACGCATTTTCGATTATTCTGATTTTCAATAGGGTTCATCCTTGGGTGATTACGAACACTCATGCCAAGTTTCGTTAAAATCCGTCAAGAATTGTGTCTTGTAGAGTGTTTACGAGCAATTGTGGATGGACCGACTGACGGACGGACCGACGGATATGGGTGACAGCAATATACGTCCCCCATTTCATGTGGGCGTATAAAAATGCCAACATGACAACAAATCCAATTCTTACCATAGAATGGCCGTATGAGGTTCTTTTATTGTTATGTTTTCCTATTTGTGCTGCTGCTACCACATAACACTGGTTTTCAATAGCTCTACTTCGTAATAGTGGCTGAAGAGAAACAATAATAATTATCATTATACTGTACTGGAATATATTTACCAGATGTATCACGACACTGTTTATAAGACTGTATGATCGGTAAAATAGTAATGAACAGTTCCATCAGTTTCATCCAAATCTGACAAAAATTGTGTCATTTAATGTGTTTCCATCTAAAATCTCAAACATTTTGTAGTCAATAAAATAATAATTGTTGGTGTTGAACATTTAGTGTTTACAAGCTTAAATTGTTGGTATTTCACGGCTATCAGACCAGAAACAAAGGTGAAAAGTATATCTAAAGGCCATGGTTTGCCATTTTCATGTGTTTATTTGGGTCTTAAATATATGTAAATAGTTTTCAAAACTACTAGTGCTGCAGAAAAAGCTCATATCCCTTTGAATATACTTCAAACTAGATCTCTGTTCTATATATGGAGGGGTCTTAAGAAAAGAGTCATCATTTTAACTTTCAAACATGGATAATTCTGGACACACATGGATTTGAATATGAATACTGATACAGATTAGCTTAGTTAATAAATCCTGTTTCTGACACTTAAGTACGATTGGTCAAACAGATGGCAAAAATAAAAAGAACTCCTTTTGATAAGTTTTATCTTTAAACAAAAGCTGCACTGACATTATCTGTTGTGTGGTGGACATATACTTTTTGGCAATTTATTATATCTATTATGGGCCTGTATTACTGGTGACTGCTCTATAACAAAGATTACTACTAATATAGTACTCTAGTGATGATTTACCTCCCAATGGGCTAGTCCAGTAGTTTGTGTAAATACAGATGGATATGTTAAAATCTCTGCTCCTTGCTGACGTAAAGTAATGGCCATATCAGGGAATCTCAAATCATAACACTACATTATGTAAGGAAATGGACGTAGTACACCAAACAAGATGTATTTTTCTGGAAATGCAATGTGCAGTTGTATGCAAGAAAATGCAGCCAATAAGAGCCCTTGACAGAAATATTGCAAACAATATGGCTACCCACAGTTCTCCTCTGTCATAGAAGACGCCACTTCTTAAATGTGTGTTTAACATTTTGGCATTTGATTGGTATTATATTGAACTCTCACACAGGAAAACATATTGTATATCTAATATTTTTGAAATGTGCCTCATAACACCATTACAAGGTATTAGTTCTTAAAGGTTATCATTGGACAACATTAGGTTTATTTGGTCAAAGAAACCATCTATCAAAGGATACTGTAGCTAAACCAAGTCGACCAACTGGTGTTTGAATAGGTTCTATAATGTGAGAACCTGGTATAGTAAAACTACTCTCTGTTAATTTAACTGTATTCTTTATATCTAGATCAAATAAATGAGCTTTATTATACACTGCTGTGATGACACCTTCACTGTTTATCATTACATGACTGTTATATACTCTATTTTCATCACTTCTGAAATAAAACAAACTGAACCTTAACTTAATTCTTCTTTTTTCAAACGTCATTGGTTATAAATTTTTAGAAGTTGATTTGGGTCTTGAATATATGTAATTAGTCTTCAGAAGAAAGGTTTGTTGTAGAGTCTCAAGAAAAGTCAATCTTCATTTAAACTTTCAACCGTATGGCAAGTGAACCTGTCTCTTTAAACACTGTTTTACTTAAGACATACATACAAAAGATACAATATACAGAATGGAAAGTGAAATTCCTAGTTTGAGTTAAATTTGAAGGATGCTGAAATTTTCTGTGCTGTTCTAGTACTTCTGTAGACTATTTATTTACATATATTCAAGACCTCCATAAAACCCTCTGATAATGAAAAACCATGGCCTTTCATTAGATAAATAAGAAAATGAACATACTTTGATTTGATATGAAATCCTGCAGACAACCAAACATTATTAGACTGTGCCAACTGTTTAAACTGTGTTAAAATAGGACCATCCAGACTTTCAGCCATATCAACTGATGATTGTATAGTTTCAGCAATATAGTCACAGGCTTCTGGTAGAAAGATCACCTGAAACAATTAATACAGCATTCATACATTTTTTTTAGTAAGTCGTAAATTTTGTTTTTTTCGAATTTATGAAAACTTTACACCAAAATTTTGAGGAAGGTGTCTCTTAACTTATTTCGAATGTTTTAACAAAAAGTCTCTTGTCCTTAATTCTTGAACCCTAAAACCAGCTAAAAGGTTTATGTAACCATTTTAACTTAGCTATGTGTTTTGGTTCTTGTTGGAACACTAATGAAAAAAGTTTTTGGCAAAATAAAAGCCAAAATCATCTCCTACTTATTCTGAGCGTTTTAACTAAAACACCAAAACTAAACTAAACTGCTTAATTAATAATTGGACTCTCAGTTTTTAATCACCCATTTTAAAACAAATTCAGTTTGATCAAGAGTATACCTAGATGTAAATAACATATTTTTCAAAATATTCATGTATTATTTGCAATGTTTATAAATTTTGCATACTGCCCCTTTAAGCAGACTATCTGTGAATATTTCATTAACCAGGTAGGTCATTAATAGATAGAACACAGATATGAAATGAAGGTTAATCCAATTTTGTATATGTAACGGGGACGCTGATCACTAGAACTAATTGTTTGATGACATCATTAATCATCACTTTAAGGGCCTTGTGTAATAAAGCATATTTTCGATTAGTGACGTCATCAAACAAATATTTGATGTCGGACTGAAAATTGGAATGGTGCAATACACATTACATACAATTTTGAGAAACCCTCTATACAATCCCTTTAATAAAAAAAATGATTGTTGATATTATATCAGTGACAAAAACAATTAATTTGTATCTTTAAAATAATGTAATAGAATTAGTTTCACCATGTTTTTAATCATTTAATACCAACCTTTGCTCCAAGAGCAGCTGATTTTTCAATAAGACTCTTACATGTTGAAAAATTCTCTTCCTTGTTGCTGGTAGCTGTAAATTGACATACACCAATTCTTGGATTTACTTTAACAGTTGCCATCTTAGAATATTGCAGATGGTTAATGGACAGTACAGGTAGATGGTAGTTGGTTGTCACTATCTTGTTGAATATAATTACTGATGTCTTCTTATAAACTGACCTCATTTATATCTATAGGCCAGCTAATCTTTATATATGTAGGTTATTCAAGGAATACCACTTCTAAAAAACACCATCAAATTTAAAATTTGGTCATTTGGCCTAAGAAAAGTACTCCTTTTTTATATTCATACCTGGTGTCACAACTATAATACAGAATCCCTGTAAAATCTCATTAATCCATACAACCGAATTGGCCTAATTATTGAAAAAAAAACCACATAAATGTTTTTAAGCACTTTTAATTAGTATTTGATTAAATAATGGAACACAATTATCATTTTCACCTGATGAACACAATGTAAATTGTTGAAACGTTGTGTTATGTACTGTATAATACAACTCACGAGTAGTATGACATAAAATTTTATCAAATGTGATCTCTACCTGAAATTTGTCCCTTAAGGATTAATGATGAGAGTTTCAAGGATTTATCAGAGGGATTCTGCTGAAAAATATATTTATGACACCGATGGATATTATATAGGCTACTCTTATTGACCAAGTTTGAGATTTTGTAATAGGCTATATTACTAACATGAAATTAACAATGTTTAAGTGAATAAACTTGCCCACACAACCTGTCAAACTACCTTTCATAATTAAAACTATCCTGTCTCTCAATGCCGTCAGCAGAGAGTCAGAAGACCAACTAAGAGTATATCTTGAAATAGCGCAACCAATTTGGTTGCATTGAAATATTCTTCTTCCTTGAGGTTTTTATTACAAAGACTGACAATTTTCTTGTATGTTATGAGGTCAGCTCCATACCATCCTTTTTTTCAACAGAATAAATCACTAATTGTTGTCTCTAATCTAAGTTAAAATATTCAAGCGTGGAGCTATTTAGAATTATTGAACATTTCAGCCAATCAAAAGACATACATTTCATTGGCTCAACCAATGACGTCCTGGGCTGAACAAATTTTATAAAGATGGTGACGTAGTTTAAGTAAAAATACCTGCCTGATGGACATTTATCTAATATGTACACAAATACATAATGTCAAGTTGTTGTAAGGCACATCTTATTCCATAATAATCTAATACTTTACAAAATTTACTGTTTTCAAAGGTCTAAATCAAGTAATACAAAATTACATATTTATCTTCTTGGTGGTCTGTCTCTAAAATACGTAGTATTATTTAGAAACACTAGTCGGCCTACATTAAGACCTTATAAATTTTTAATATTTATGTACAATTGCTATATTTATGCTAAATTTCACAGAAAGAAAGGATTTTTATAGGAGGTCATAAAAATCAATGATACCGTCCACATTACAAGTCAAAGATTATTATCAACAATGGTGGTGTGATTGTCCTTAATGAAAAGGCCTTGCCATGTACAGGCCTACATAAATTGTTCACCACATTTGTCCTGCGATTAGAGCCTCCATTTATTTGTTTCTTAAAATGTCCTGAAGAAGGGAATAAAAACAGAATCTAAACCACTTCTCAGTTAAACGGTGTTAAAGTTATTTGCGTAGGTCAAAAAGAGTTCTACTTGGCCTATGAAATCTAGCGTAGCAAGCAATGGACCTATAGTATAGACAAAATGGCAAAGTAACAGAGTATTGGCTACATATTGGTATTTATTATTAACATTCTTGATGGGCCTAACAGACATTTTTTTATGGCGATTTTCGTGTAATTTTCTATTATCAAAGAAAGAAAGGCTCCGTTGTCCTATTTTAGTTATATCAAGTCGAAACCCTTCCAACTGTAGTCGGGGTGGGTTTCAAAAGCCTACCACTACTACCGGAAATGAAAAAAAAATGAGCTAAAATGGGTAGGCTATTGCATAAATATAATACAAAGCTTTTCATACAAAAGTAGTCAATTTGGCGGAATTTTTGATGACGTTGATTCAATTTTATGGAATCAAAATTAGTTAAAACATTAAAAATGAAACGAAACAATATTTCTTTTCCAGCTCTAAGATATTTTTCTTCACATTTTCTGATTCAAATCATGCTCGAAATAACAATAGTCCATTTTCACCTCCAATACTAGGTTTAGGTCCTGTCATTAGCAGATGTTGCGATGCGATTGTCATAAAACGCTTAGTTTTAGTAGAATTGCAAGATCCACAGATGTCTGACTGAAAATTGACATGGTGCAAAGTGATGCCCCCGATACACATATAAAAACTTTAGACTTCCTTCAACTAAGATTCCCCTTCCATACGTGCTAAAATAACCCACACAAGAAGGGATATATATAACTCTTTACAAACTAACCACTGTTGAAACTGGATTATATGCAAATGATTTTATTCTAGAAATCTTCTTTCTCTCTCCCTTTTTGGGTTTTTGCATGCCTATTTCTGGGTAATTTTTAGTTTAGATTTGGAGTTGCATTATTTTTAATTTTTGGTGTGATGATGAGAGACCTAAAGGCGGAAGGCTAATTCTAAAATAGTCGTTTTGTGAACTGCCATACTCTAACGGATGAGTATAACCAGTAATAGTCTACTTTCAATTTTAGTAGCTCAAAATTTTCATTTATTTTCACTTATTACCAAACGTCACAATTTTTTATCGGCCGAATTTCCTTATAATCCCAAGCGGTAATCGGAATTCCATGTGTCGTCTGCTAGAATATATCCCAACGAATGAAGTCACGTGATCAACTAGCGGATTCCGTGTCAGCAGAAAATTTCTATGGAACACAAAGTGGACCATATTCTTATGTTGTTTCATTGACTTTTAGCAATAAAACACGCTACGTATCTTATTTTGTCAGTCACTATTTTTTTTTAAAATCGTGGTTCTTTGAAGGAATTGTCACTAGTTATAGTGAATTGATATTAAAGATAAATACTAAGAGAAGTTAATTATACCACCCTGTATCCATACAACGTGTTTTTCTAGATTTATTTATAGATCAAACATTGTACACGAAAATGGGTGACGCATTTTGCCGCCGTTGCCGAGTTGGTTGCTCATGAAATATGGGTCAGAGTGAAAGATTCATAAAGAAAATCGAAAGAAACCAATTTGTATTATTTTGTAGAATATCTGAGGAAACATCTAAGACATAAATTTTTTTTTCGTTTTTTTAACTTTGACGAAATTCGGTGTTGAATCCTTATATCCACGAAAATAGGTTACACCACTGTATTGAATTTTTTAGGAGACATTAAGGATTGGTCAGGCTTTCATTCGACATATTGGAAAGCTTTCAACGAGATTTCTGGAAAAAGTTGTAGAAGGTTGAAATTCCTGTTTTAACATTATGGCAAATGAATTATTGGAGTGAGTCCAACTCCACTAACAGTTTAAGGGACCAAACTCGTATTTGTAATCAAGACTACATCAAATAATGCCTATCGACTGGTTGAAAACGCCTACAAGCTTCTACTAACCCACATACGAAAATTGACTGCCAAATGAATTTCAATTTTGTGACTGGGTGTGGCATTAAAGCACAGTTTTCAACGAGCGTCGAGATTTTGGAAAATGTTGTTAAAGGTTGAATTTCGTTGAATTACTATTACTAGAGTCCAAGACTTATTATACGTGTCTGGATGACAGAGATTATATATTTATCATGGCTGGCATATTTATGTGTATTTATATGTATACTATATAAATTACACAAAATAATTATATTATTTGACGCTGATTAAGATTTCTAACTAGTATATACAATATACGATTCTGGCCCTCTCCATTACATGAAGAGGACGAATTTGTAAAAAGGCCAGATAGCGTCCATGGACTTTATGGGAATCGAACCCATTTGAACTAATTTCAAGTCAGTTTTGATACCATTACAAACGAAGTATCCATTAGACCACGCCGACCTAAACTATATTTGTGCAATAATAATAGGCCTATTATACTCAGAACATTGTATATTATATATATATATATACGATGGGCCTTTGAAATCAAATCGGCTTTTAATTAGAAGTATACGTGTGTGTGCGCCAAAAGCTGCGAATAGACAATGTCCGATGCGGTGTAAAAACGGAAACAGAAGAAGTGACCACCACTCCGGTCTGGACACGATTCGTCTCATCTATTTTCGACTGTAGGCCTATTGATAATCCCGCACCGTACTCCCCACTGGACACCAGTGACGAATGGGTTTCAGACATGTTTTAGTTTAGCAGTTTAGCCATGGATGGGTATTTGTCAATGCTATGTAGAAATGTAGGTCACTTATATTATAATGTACCCGAAAATGCTGCTAATGCACACGGAATCTCAAATTAAAGAAAACCCCAAAACATGATTCTCCATATTTATTAAGCTTGTCGATCTTTATTTTAACTTAAGTGCATGTTACATCATAGATATTTAAAAAAGAACAAAACATTAAACCTTCTTAAATCCAAGAGATAAAATATTTCAAATTGCCAAATATCACAAACACCTGTCTAAATTTGCTCAAAAAATGTATAAAATGGCATAAAATGTATTGGGCTTTGTCCTTAGTCTGTGGTAGTACATGTGTAAATTATTTCCTGTACTGTGCTACCATATAGAACAAATACATTGTCATATAGAATCTAGTGATATCATGTATACATAGACCTATAAGTGATACCACAATAACTATATTGTCTTATGTAATAAGATTTAGTAATACCAAATCTAGGTAAAGATAGCTTGCCAGGCAAGATAACATACGCCCACTACTGGCTGTAAGAAATTATAATATTATCTTTAGTAGCTAAATAATGAATTTTCAAAAAATATTAATATCATCTATAAGTAAAGGCAAATACCTGAAACAGTTCATAATATTATCATCAAATTCAAACATTTATTTAAGCAACTCGCATACACACTTATCAAAGTGTGCATTTATTTACGCGAAGCGCCTACAACGATTTGAGTACAATGTACACTTATAATAGCGATTTGCCAAAGCGCGTACCCAAATTGACCAAATCGTGGCACATAGCCCTTTGGTACGATTCAATTTAGATTCAAGATGGCGGGAAACAATGCTATCAAGTACATTTCTAGAATTTGTTCTAATAGGATAGGAATGAGGACAAAAATAATATTTTTTTACCAGCGTTTGAATTTGTATTACAGCAAAGAGAATCATCGGTAGAAGAAATTATTCCATTGGCAGATTTAACTGTGTTCAATCCAAAAATAAACAGTCTACTGTTCAATAATCTGTGTATTTGAAAGGGCAGGCAACTCGATACCAGACCAACTTATCTAAACAAACAGAATGGCAAGAGTATTTAATGTAAAAGGCTCGTGGGGTTTAAATTCTGGAGTAAGCTGGCTTTCTTGGTTGGTTACTTAACAAGCTGGAACCAGGAATAAAACTTTTCTGTCTCATTAATACAGCAAGTGTAATTTTGTATTTGCAGTATGCCTTAATTACTAAGTCAGCTTGGACTGCCATTGCTACACCAAACCTAGCGTTTATTTAAGGAGAGTTGACTTGTACCACGTGATGAAACTCGGCTGCCAAAGCGAGTTGATAAGATTTGCTTGAATAAAAAGGCCTAGTCATCGCTGTACATACAAGGCCAATAACTCTGAAACTGAAGCCAAATTTGACGCTATAACACTCTAACCGTTCATCCAATTATTGCCAATTTCGATCTTGACCGAGATCTCATCATTATATACATGCATACCTAGTTTTTATCGTGTCTACAATTGAAATTTGAAGCGTTTTTACTAAGTCAAGGGCAATAACTCTGAAATTAATCATCCGATTATTATCAATTTCAGATTTGACTGATATCTCATCAATATACATGCATGACAAGTTTCACCAAAAATCAGATACAAACTGTAGTCTTAATCTGCCTACAAGCCAAATTTGACGCGGTTTTACTAAGTCATTAAGGGCAATAACTCTGAAACAATTCATCCGATTATTACTATTTTCGAACTTGACTATACAAACATTCATACCAAGTTTCATGAAGAACAATATGACATCATTTGAAGCTTACCAAGTGATAACACATGGAGCAATGCGACACCACCATGTAATATCACACTGAACAATGTGACACCATTTATAGGTAATTTAATAATATTAATAATCGTTTGGTGGTCTAATGATCCAGATCATTTAGAACAAGGTGATATCATTTAGATCATGGTGATAATATTTAGATTATGGTGATATCATTTAGAGCATGGTGATTTTGTATAATATTATATATTGAACAAGATGATATATTTTAGAGCAGGGTTGTATCATTTAGAGAATGGTGATTTTGTATAATATTATATAGAACAAGGTTATATCATTAAGAGCATGATGATATATCAATATATTGTATTGAACACATTGACAAGAGCTCATAAACAAGTGTCTCAAATGCTGTATTGATGCAAATAAAATACAAAACTTAATTATATTGAATGAAACCATTCTATTGATTCTAAAATTGAGTCTAATTTTTGAACAAAACCTGAAATAGCTAAAAAAAATTAAAGATTCTTGATTAAAAAGCTATTTATTACATAATAATTTACTTACTAACTAAATGCACTAAAATGGAAATAATATTCTGAATCTTTAATACATCATAGGTTCTTCAAACCCACTGACTGACTGGTGCCCGTAATCAAATGATTGGATAATACCTCCACTTCCGGTTGTAAAAGAATCGTTATAATAATCCCCTTCGAAGGCCTTGTTATACCCATAACCTTCTCCATACAAAGCTTCTTCATACCCAGGACCTCTATTCTGTATTAGTATTGTTTGACCTCTTACAACACCACCACGACCTCGACTCCCACCCCGTGTGACACTTCCAACCGGCGTGACACGCATAGGTGTCAATGTGGGACAATCTGATGTGAAATCGTAATAATTCTCATGTGGTTGTTGCACAAAACTATTTTGGTGATCGTATGTTTCATCACCATATATCTCATTTGGTTCAGACTTAGCCAAATAATCATTGAGTAATTTCTTGTGATTTAAAAAAGCTGGTGGTCTAATACCACCTGCCCTACCCCTTTGTGGTTGATCTCTGGTTTTCTGAAGGCCTGGTCTTTTTGGGGTAGAATTACCTCTACTTCTAAGACTGCTTTTAGGAAGAAAAGTAGTTGGTTGGTTTTGGAAATACTGCTGATTACTTTGGAAATTTTCCTGCTGTACTCTTTGTTGTTGGTTTATGAAATTTTGCTGTGGTCTCTGCACACCTCCACTTTGAATACCTCCTCGTTTGGTTTGTAGGAAGCCAGGTCTCTTCAATCCAAAGTTATGCTGAACTCCTCTTTGCTTCTTTTGTGAACTTGGACCAAAGTTGTTTGCTGGTGGTGCCATCTTTCTTTTTTGGGGATTGGATTGGTTGGAAGATGCTTTCTTCAACTCCGAAACTTTTTTCTGTTGTAGAGCTGCATTCAGGACTCTTTGACTAGATGCCATTTCAATCTTCAGATCACTCTGAGTTGGAACCTGGTTCTGAGGAACAAGTTTGTAACGACCACTGGAACCATTTTCTTTCATAAGCAATTCAAAAAGCTTTTTGGGATGATAGTTCTTGTGAATAGTTGAAAAATCTTCATGATTTCTATAATGAATAAATTTGTCTGCTAGTAGTTTGGAAAAAGAGATGATATCATGTGGAAAATTGGCCTCTAACTGAATGTCCCTGAGGTTACCACCCAAAAAAAAAGCGTTAACAATAGACTTGAAAGCAAAGACTTGGTATTTGTCAGGTATTGGTTTCGTAGTTTGAAGTGGTGGATTGCCACCGACTTCATCTTCTTGATCTTTGCCTTTATATTGTAGATCTTCCACATACAGACCAGAAGATTTCAATCTTTCACCTTCAGCTTTAACTTCATCTAATGTTATAACTCTTGGATTAGGATCACAAGTTAACATCTGAAAAATATCAATCCAGTTGAAAAATGAAATAGACCTTATGGGTTAATGTCATGCAGTGTGCAATAAGGGAAATTTTGTCAGGACAGCAGCATTAGCCTACTCTTTTTTTGATTTCCTACTGTCGAGGTATTACTTAAGGTATTATCTCGACCTGTGATGTGATTGAACCTTCAGACTACCCAGCTGGTGTCCCATTCTTCATATCCTTTTTTCAAAAACATTTAGGCCATTAATTTAACTTTCCACTATTTATGAAAACAGTGGTCTCACTTTTCAGAATGAAAATTCAACCTTTGGTACCTTAACAAGATCACTAAAAGGTATAATTTACTTTTTGATGTGCAGTTAACACTGTAACTGTCTCTAATATAAGACATTACTAATTGTGAGAATGTCAATAACATCAATGGAAGTGAAGTATCTCTAAGATTCTACAGTATTTTCATTTATAGACAATAGGAAAACACTTTTAATTCTTTACAGTAGTATGGAAAGCAGGTATTTAGAGAGCTATAAATCTTTAGAGGAATACTACCTCTAAGAATGGACGTAAAATTTAAAATGTTAAACTGGGTTTATAAAAGTATAAAAAAAATGATAGCACTTTTCATTTCAGGATTACTCATAAAGTATCAAATTAAGTATCAAAGCTAAGATAATAATATTTTAAAATCTAAACTATAGATATATATAAGACATCTCTTTACAAAAAGTTAGCTTTATATTTTGAAACACTTTAAAATAGCAGCATTTTTATAATTCCTTGTCAAAACTTTCAATGGCAAAATTTATCATGGTCATATTTCTAGCTAATAATGGCAAATAGTCAATGGTGAGCACAAACTGCCGATGATCACTTTTTCCAAGAATGCCTGTGGATTAAGAAACCTGAGGTATCATATATAAAATGATGAATAACTAACCCTCACCCATGTCCCGATTTCAATCCAAAAGATAGCAGTATGCAGGACCCTCAAGTTGAGAAAGTTTACATTGGATAATAAAATTTCTTCTAGAAACAAGAAATGAAGGACAGATATAAGGACTAATGGAATGAAATACAGCTTGACGAAATCCTGAAGGTAATTCTGGCATGGAAAGAGCATCAATGAGCAGTTTGTACAGAAAATGACCGTCACATAGCCCAGTTATTCAAATAAAGACGAAATTAAATCATAGTAAATTACAAAATTATTTTTGGCATTGATATTTTTGACAAGGAATTTTTAAAATGCTGCTATTTCAAAGTGTTTTAAAATATGAAGCTAATTTTTTGTGAAAAGATGTCAGGAGATGGCCTAGTTAAAATGTTTCAATTTTTTGGTCTTCCTAATTGTAGTGTATCTTTATATTCAAGATGATAACTTACTTCAACAACTGGACAGGTTTCATATAAATTAAACAGAATGTGGGCAGCTGCTATACTTTTAGCTGCATTCTTATTTGTAGCAGCAGTTCGGACAGTAGCTAACTTTTCTCCTTGAATTAAAATTACGCACCTACAATAAAGCATACTATCACAGTGAAACCTTTCTATACAGGCCATCAATACAAAGCATTTGATAGCCTGATTTCTACCTGTTAAAATCTAATTTAGATTTTACCAGGTTCTGCAATGGGCTCACAAGAGAAAAAAATCCAAAGTTAAAACATTTTCAGACACCTCGGATAGTAAAGAACGTTTCACTGACTTAAAAACAAGTCAAACTATTTAACTTGTTGTTAAATGTTCAGTATGAATATAAATAACGATGTCTCCACTGGTTTTGAGCTCTAACGGCCAAAATTAGACAAGTATATCTTTTTAATTGTTTAAAATTATTTTTGTTCATTGTGGAAAATTAAACTGGTTATTGCACAAAGAATAACCAAAATGCATGAATTAAATTTCATGTAATAATTTTCAGAATGATTGAAAGAATGAGATTTTCTTATAAATATACTAAGAAAACTCAAAAAACTTTGCGATAAAAAATGTTAACTTATAAGGCTGTTTGGAACAATCATAAAAAAATATTAAGTTATTAAAAGCCTGAAATAAAATAAATCTAATTAAACTGTCTATTGCATAAATTTTATAATCCAATACACAGAATATGGTAGGCTTACACAACAACATCTTCACAATGTTAAGCTATTATTATTACAAACTTCCTCTTATACTTTGACTGCAATTGCCACTTTTTCTCTTCTGAGGGAAGTTTGTAAGTGCTGCGATTTGGTAGAACTGTACCTTAGCAAATACAGCCAATCAGGGTCCTCAACAATAAGCCATGTTTACTGTCTTTCTGTCAAGGTCTATGATTTATTATATTTGCTTGCGTATAACCCGATCAAATCAAATCCACTAATGTGGCTATTGCAGACTAGCAGTCAAGGTATAAGACGAAGTTCATAATACCTTGACATTGTGAAGATGACACATGGACTATGTTCAGATCACAGTTGATATTTCCCCAAACCATGGTGGAATGCTTCAACCACATAAAAATCCCAGTAGGGGCTGTGGCTGAGCACATTACCTTACGACACAAAACTGGACTGTTAAGTCAAGTTTCATGACAAACATAATGATATTGCTTTGAGTGCTAAATGTTTCAGCATGAAACAGGTAATAATACAATTAAAATGATGTATAAGTCAGCAGAGAGGTTACTGACAAAGACGTGAAAACAACATCTTTATGCAATAATGCAAACATAAATTTTTCATCTTTAAGTGAAAAATAATGCTTTACATATATTTTTTCTTTTCGTTCTTTTAATTTTTGAATTATTTTTAATACGATACACGTGACTCGCTGTAACCATTGATATCTGATAAAATTAACATTATTTGAACAAGATAATGATCTGAACATAGCCTTGGATTAGAACTTTTATAAATCAAATGGACATACATTGAATGTTATACGTTTGATTTATAAAGCTTAATTTACAAACAAGTCAAATTGCTTAAATGATTTGACAAGTTCAAATACAAAAACTTAGTGAGTTCAATTGTGATTTGACTCAAAAGGTATGGAATGCAAGGGAAAAAAACCTAAAAAGAAAGAAAGAAAATACTCGACCGCCTTCAATCTGATGGAACTTATTCATGCCTCATTTTTAGAATCATCGAATGTGATGCTCATAACCCATTGAAAGGAATGCGATTTCAAATGAAGAAATAGTCTTAATGACATCATGAACATCATCTGAAAGTATCATTACATAGCTTAATCAACTCTGATTTTAAGGAGGTGATAACAGAGGGGGTATCACTACAGTGAAATAATGTTGTGTTAAAGTTATGAGTGATCGTTCTGGATCAATAGTGGCCCTCCCATGAACATTACAAGTTTTTGCTTCTAGCTAAACATCTTTTTCAGTCTCAAATAACACGTTAAAGGGGGTGGGGAGGGATTCAAAGACATTAATGAGATAATAGTATGATGAGATGGAATGTCAGATGTATGTTACTAATTGCTCCTACTTAAAAATAAAGAAAATGAATAAATCATCTCCAACAAAATCAAAGCTCAAAATCATCAGTCCTAAAATATCACAAAAGGGAAATTAAAAAACTCTGTCACCAGTCGTTTCCATAATATATTAAACCTAGAAATAAATATATTTACCAATTATATATTATATCAAGTATTAATTGTAAAAGTATCATTCAAAAAAAAAATAGATCCTCAACAAAACATAAATTTTCAGTTTGTATGAGGTTGGACTGATTCCAATAGTTTAAATTGAAGTTTGGTATTTGTAACAAACTTAAGCTCACTCCATTTGATGAATGAATGATCACTTCCATTGTGCAGCTTTACAGCTCTACTTTGCTTAAATCAAGATTTATTATCTAACTATCATGGCAGTTTGTAAATGAAGGGATTTGATTGGATTGTATGCTAGAGAATATATTTAATTAGAGGCTTCGACAGAAAGTAAATAAACACAAAGCCATAATGTAACAGTCTTTCTGTCGAGAGCTCTGATTGGCAGTATTTTCTGGAGTACAATCCAATTGAAATACTGCATTCCGTGATATAAGAATAGTTGCAATTGCAATCAAGGTATATGTAGTTTGTAATAGCTTGACTTGTGAAGACGGGATATCATAGACTTGTATTTTTTACTTGATTATGTTATAACACTATCAAATCAAAAATGGACTGAGTGTAATTCAATGAAGAATTTTCCACTAAATCAATATACGGACCCTCTTAAATTAACACCAAGTTAAATGAGAATTTTTACCAATCAACTTTGGAAATTCTATAATTATTATATTCGACATTCTAATGATTCTTGCAATTGGCCCAAAAAGCCCTGGACTTAAATCAGTGGGGAATACCCACAACTCACTACTTACTCAAATACATTATTAGATAGCCTCTCAAAATCCCACTCCAATAATAAACCATTAGTGTTGCAGCTAAGCGACAAAATACCAAATGCTTGTGTCCGTATTCTATCAGTATTCCATCTTTCTTGTTCCTGTCAAATTTAAATGTAAGGGGTTTTATACATTATCACGGAAGAGAATTTCATCATTTCTTTGACTGTTCAAACCTGTACTGTCATTCGAATATCAATATTGAACAATAACTCTTGAGACCCTTATAAGGATTGTAAAGAGACTTTCTAAACCTTTAATGTGTATCAGGGACACTGATATTATTGATTTTCACCATTCCAATTTTCAGCCAGACGTCATACTAAACGTAAGCAGGAAATCAAGAAAAATCACCTACTCACCATAATAACCAAATCTTTAACAGAAAGATTCTGACATTCATCAGGAAAATTTGTCCAGGTGCTGCTTTTCAATTTCAGTATGTTTGACTGCGCTCTGGTGTTTACAGACACCACACAATACTCAATGACATCAGGTGCTTTTTTGTCTTCAGAAGTTAGCCGTCTGTTTTCACGCAAGATAGATTCAGGAGTAGACATGTTGAAAAACATTTCAGCATACTCATATGCAGATCGTTTGGCAGCCAAATGAGTTGCTCCCTGACCACTGCTGATCAAAATATTACAAAGGTACAGCTCACAGATAACTTGGTCAGTTTTTTTACCAGGAGGCTTTCGAAACAACAGTGATGGACTGGTTTTCAATTCCTCCAATGCTAGTATATCAAAATGAGCTGAAAATGGCTTGTTTTCTGGCTTAGCAAGTTCTTCCATAAACAAACGAAGTTGATGAACATCTAAGTTTTCACCATAGAATTTTGTCAGAATACCAACATCTCCTGTGATGATGCTGGATAACTGTTCTTCTGTCAGTCCTTGAGATAATGTATGTGAATCAAATTTCAAAAGGTGGTCAAAAGCCATTTCATAACATGAGAGTTTTGTCAATTTTTTGTTAATATTTCGAGCGATTGCAACATGCACATCATCAAAATACAAGGAGCCTTCAAATATTGGCTTCTTATCTTCAGGATCTTTAGCTGAACCTTCCACATACAATAGAGGAGATTTTACCATGGCACCAGCTTGTTCTAATCGACTTATAACATGTAACTCTAGTCCAAGTTGAGATGAAAGAGTATCCTTCAATTTATTGAATAACTGAATTGTGCTTTCTGCTACAGGTTTTGTCACTTGGCTGGTATCTGCCTCTTGTTTTATTACAGGCTCACCATTCCCTGTGTCTTTTAAATTTAAAATCTGATCCACTGTAAAGGTTGAGAGAATTCCTACAGCTTTAGAATAGCACCCAGATTTGATTCTTTTCTTGTTCACATCAACATGTCTGGTAATGAACTGGTCACCAAAGTAGAGGACACCTTCAAAAGTCTGTACATTTGTTTTCTTTTGTGCAGGTTCACATTCAAACCTATCTTTGAATCCATAATTACCACCATAGAGGGTGTTACTAATCAACTGAAACGATAAAATAGGAAACATGGACCTTGATATTATTTAGTCAGTCTATACATTAATCAATATACAGCCAATATCAAAACATCAAATAGCTTAAAGGGACAGGTGAGCCATTCTTTATGACCAATCATACTTTAGTCTCAGAAACGGGAATTTTTTAGCAAAGCCAATAAGTAATTGTGTTAACAGCTGAATAATCTGCGTTTGAATGGTAAAATGACGACCTGTCATATTAATATACTCTGTGATATATAGAAAAGACATATATATTACTAGTGAGTGAAACTCTTAGTTTGAAATATTTTGTAAGGAATTATGCAATTTTCGTACATTTCTAGTATTTACATATTTTCAAGACTCAAAATGGCACACTTATCCCTTTAAATGATAGCACATTAAATCAGACAGAATCAAAATTTGGAAAAAGGGCAATAGAGCAACGAGGGGGATCAAAAAGGAACATGAGGAGAAGCCAGTTTTGTGCATTTTCACAAGGAAAGAGTTAAAAATAATTCATATGCTTTACGCACGAACCAAGATAAGGTAGATTCTTGACACTAACCTATCACACAAATACAGTACATCATTTTCACAATGTCAAGGTATTATAAACTCAGTCCAATACCTTGACATGATGAACTTTTTTTGTAACACAGAAGTTACATGCCACTGAACACAGACCTTCAACAAGGCTATTTAAAATGATTTGGCTGTTTTGTTCTTTTTACAGTCTTTGATTCTCTGGTGTACAATCCAATCAAATAACAGCCTTAAGTGATAGAAAGAAAGTGACAAATGATTTCAAGGTATTAGACACAGTTGGTTACACCTGGTCATTGTGAAGATGGCAGCACATATGACCATTATGCAATTGATAATTTATATTTCAAGAACTAATACTTTACCATGATATCATTTGTTTCTGTTGTATTATTTTTAACCACTTTCATGAAGTTTTGTAAATTGAATCTAAAAGAATTGTTGCTATCTACAAGAATAAAATATTGAAATTAATAGATACACAGTCTAGTATACATGTAAACTCAAGGAGCTTAAAAAAGGTTTAACTTCCAAATTGTCACAAATTTCACAACCTTTTGCATTTAAGTATGCATCACAGGAGATAATATCATGACACATTTCTGCATACACAATAATCTTATACATGATTTTCTTTTAGATTGACAAGAATGTCATAATAGATAAATAGATTTTGGTGAATAAAAGTATATCAAAAGATATCACCACCAGTCCACCACCTGCTCAATGTTGTACAGGTGGTCATGAATACTAGTAATTAGACTAAAATTATGATGGAATAGAATTACAGTAGTCTTAGCCTTGTTAAACCACACAAATAATTTCTTTTGGATAACACATCTGAATATGAACTCATTTCCTTATCATGGAAAATAGTTTTTACATGTCTAAGAACAACAGAATTTATTTTTCTCTTTCCAAATAGAAGGTTTGCAAACAAATGAATTTTGACTATTACATGAAAGATTTCAACCTACTATTAAATCCTCCTCTACCCCCCCTCTGACCTCCAACTCTTGTCATTCCATAACTTCTTCCTCTTGTCTGACCTCCTCTTATAGGATTGCCTCCCCTTCCTCCTCGCATCTGATTTCCACCTCTTCCAAGGTATCCACCCTGTTTTTGAATTCCTCCTTGATGTCCATTCTGTAGATAATTTCTGCTTTGTCCTTGATATTCCCCCCTGCCTCTGTTGACTACTCCACCTCTAGTTTGTCCTCTTCCTCTTCTGTTCCCTCTTGATCTCATGAAACCACTTCCCTGTCCATGAGGCATTGTTTCAAAGACTGGATTTAGTCCATAATCCATAAAATCCATCATTTTATTCTATTTCTGAAACTAAATAGATGAGTTCTGGATAATTCAGAAGAAATTATAGGTATACAGTCGAGTAACCTAATTTCGTGGAAACCTATTATTCGTGGATTTTCGGAAATAATTAACAATTTAGTTTGTTTTAATAAACATGGGTTTTCTGTACAATATCAGCTAGTAGAATGAATCCAGTAGTTGCAAGCAAGGTAAAATGTATTAATGTATACTTTGAAAAATACAAAATGGCGGATTTCACTTATTACCAAACGTCACCATTTTTTATCGGCCGAATTTCATTATAATCCCGAGCGGTAATCGGAATTCCAAATGTCGTCTGCTAGAATATAGTCCAACGAATGAAGTCACGTGATCAACTAGCGGATTCCGTGTCAGCAGAAAATTTCTATGGAACACAAAGTGGACCATATTCTTATGTTGTTTCAGTGACTTTTAGCAATAAATCACGCTACGTATCTTATTTTGTCAGTCAATATTTTTTTTTTAAATCGTGGTTTTTTGAATGAATTGTCACTAGTTATAATGAATTGATATTAAAGATAAATACTAAGAGAAGTTAATTATACCACCCGGTATCCATACAACGTGTTTATCTAGACTTATTTATAGATCAAACATTGTACACGAAAATAGGTGACGCATTCTGCCGCCGTTCCCGAGTTGATTGCTCATGAAATATGGGTCAAAGTGAAGGATTCATTAAGAAAATCGAAAGAAACCAATTTGTATTATTTTGTAGAATATCTGAGGAAACATCTAAGACATAAAATTTGTTTTTCGTTTTGTTAACTTTGACGAAATTCGGTGTTGAATCCTTTTATCCACGAAAATAGGTTACACCACTGTAATACTTGTATTTAACACAGCCATGCCAATTATTGTATTTTTGCCTCATATCAGGACAATATCAAATTTATACTGAACATAAAGTAAAATTTTGTATTCTGAAAAGCGATGATACAGTAAGTTATGAAGATTAAAGATAAGCTATTGACAACCATCCAACCGAGTCAATATTTGAGTTCATATAGTTTGTGTAGTGAGTAACAGATTTTGAATTTTAGTTCTACTTCGTACCTGCTTAGTTCTGATGATATGTAACATTAACAGACGTCAGAAGACGAGAGGCAGATGTTTCGTACTAGATTTTAAGAATTTTGACTGAGAATCATTCTTTTAAATAATTTTATCATCAATGAAAATCTATAATTGCGTTCAGAAAGTTAGTTATTTCTATAACCCAAACTCACAGGAAAGCCGGTCGGTTTTAATTTACAGGACTCATCAGATTAACTGGGACTGGATAATCGCGTTATCAATCTCTTCTACTTGTTTATTTCGAAAAATAAATATTAAATTTATTTATTTATTCGTTAGATCAAACACAATTCATAAACTAGTTTTAAAGAAAGTGTTGGACAATCGAAGATTGCTTTCAATTATCTCTTTCAAAACCCCTGCATGAGGCATTATTGAAAAAAAGATAATACTCCGTATGTTTCCGAATTACCGGAAGCGGAACTCGAACCACAATGCACAAGAAAGTGGAAGCGAGACGGAACTAATTTATTGATTCACTAAAACGCTTTCCATCATTTATTGAGTATTTTACTTCTGTTTCATGAATTTTTTCTCCATGGTAAGTATTGATAACACTGTAGTGTCGATTCGGCTTAATTAAATAGACAATTGCAATGACAACGTGTTTCTTTTTTTTTTTTTATCTCCAGCCGGCATGTGTCTTCTCTAAAAAGTCCTCTAATCTAACTCAGTCACTACACTGCAGCAACTGTAACGTACTAGCAGGAAGTCTTTTGTGGTATTTCTCATCTACTACCCGGCTGCACAACCATATTGAACTGTATTTTGCATAGTGAAATACATAGACTTGACGATTGATTTAACATTGCTTCGGTCTGAAAAATGTTGTGAGGAATCAGAATGCATTACTCTGTTATCGCATTGCAAATTTTCAAATCTATACCTAAGCCTCAAACGGCAAAGAGCTATGATAAATTTGAGAGCACAACATAAAAATGATTGCGGTTACAGCCGTTAAACCGCTGTGAAAAGTTGACAATTTGGTTGAAATAACTTGGAACTGAATGATTTGGCAAAGCAAATACGATTAAACAAAGTAGTTACGTCCCCCTGCCATTTCGCCATTATCGGGAAAAATTTGAGTAAGTTCAACAATTTTAAAATAAATTTAAGATGGAAGGAAGCGTCAAAATTATCTGAAATTTGCTGTGAATATTCATGACACATATAAGTACCTCTCTGCCAAGTTTCAGATCGATGGCTCTACGAAAGGGGAGGAGGAAGAAGCAGCAATAGTGCCGACGATATGTACTAATGCCACCTTCTACTGGGATTTTATGTTTGTAATTTTGAATTTTCTGTGTTTTGAAAAAGTTTTTTGAATTTTGACTATTAAATGCTTCACAGACAAAAAAGCAATGATGTAAGCATACTACTGGAATATCATTGCGTTGCTAAAAATACACATCGTGGGTGACCGCTTAAAACTTTGATAACAATATAGGACGCAAAATTACTTGTCAAGAAAAACTATTTGTACGCGTATTTTGTTATTAAAAATCTTTTTTATTATTTTTCATACCGTGGTTTTTATTTTTTGAAAATATAAACCTCGTACAACAATTTGAGATCGCCGGCCTATTGAACAGAAAACTCGTATAATAATACAGTATACTAGGTTTTTCATTTTCATCCGCAGAAAAGGAGCATTGAACCTCGTATAATATTATATTTTTCGAGGTTTTAAACCTGACTGTTTATATACATGTTATTTAATTAATGCTTTTTGAGTTATTTACAATCAAGCTAAGAATACGAGGTTTTGATTACAAGAAGATCCGCGCTTTTACTAGCTTTCAAACGATAACAAAAAGTCAAAATGACCAAATATGGCATATACAAGGTTTCAAGGGGTCACCCACGATATATATACCAGTATCCACATGTCACTATTTCCAATTTCACTTTTGGAAACAAAAACTTCTACATTTTTGCACTTTGTACAAAATTTGAGAAGAGGGATTCCATGATAGTTATGTCTTATTCGACAAGAGTTGTGCCCCTTTCTGGACCAAATCTATGTTTTTTCAACAAGGGTGGTTGTATTGCAAGTTTTTATCAAAACTGTACAGTATATGGTCTTACGAAATTAACAAAACAAAAAATATTGTGAAATCTCTAGACAATTAATCGGATCTCTCCCTAATTTGATCAACTTTAATGATTGCTTTCAATTCCATTATTTTTTTGCATGCGGTAAGAGTTGTGTTGTATTCAAAGCCAATATTTTATCATCAGTTTCACATTCACATATTTTGGCTTTGTAAACATTATGATGAAATATCATTGATCATTCAATCATTCAGAGAAGTTAAATAATCACTATTTTTGTTCCCATCTTATACAGAAAATTTCGATTATTTTAACACAACATCCCTATTGAAAAATAGCATGGACTGAAAACTAAAAGGAAATTACGTCACACTAGGGAAATTCCTCAATTAGTAAACAAGCACAGTTTTTGGTACTGTATATTTCCAAATATAATGTGCATTTTTTACCTCAAAAGGGGTGCCCACTATACACAGTGAAATAAATTGAATAAATTTGAATTATTTTTTTCCCCTTCGAAAATACTGTGAATCGATGTTGAGGATCCGCCATTTTGTCTACCTGCATTCTTGAAATAACTCCAAAAATTGTATTGAAAAATTGCATGCAAAACCCATCAATTTAGGAATGAAATTCGCTGTTTTCTCACCTACAAGTGCAATACAGGTTAACAACTAGCTAAGAATAGTTTGTCATTCAAATAGGCCATCTGGTTGAAAAGTTCTAGGAACATAAAAAAAAGGAGTCATCGGAAGTAATAACTTATCTGATTGGACAAGAAAGGAAATCTATATCAGCCAATGAATTTCTTACTTTCATTATTTTTCTACTTTCGGTTTTAAGAATACTCGCGCTTATCAACACATCCGGCAGTGTTTATTTAAGACGGTGCTTGACAATTTCCTCCGGCTCAGTGTCGGATCTTGGAACTTTGTATCAAATTCTTATGTAATATTTGAAATAGTAGTATCAAAGCGTGATTAGACTTTTTGGTTATAATATATAGAACCATATGAAAGATCATCTCATGATTATATAAAGTAATTAAAGAATTAAAATTACGAAAAGATACGGACAAATGACTTGACTTGAACTAATTCTGTCTATTGGCAATATTAACGGTCAGAATAGCTGATGATTCACGATCTTTCAACATTTTCATAGATTTGGTACCCGACAAAATGTCTGGCTCAAACGATATTGTCCTGGACATTTGCCGAAATTGCAACGGACAATGTCCGTTCAAGCCCTGCTTCATTGCCATTTTGTTCTGTTTATAAGATTGTTTCAGGAGTTATAACTCATTAGACTTTAATGTATTTTGTAAATATTTTGTATTAAAATATTTGTGATTAATAAACTAAAATAGGTACCGGTATATTAATGTGTTAAGTGTGAAAATGTAGAAGTTTTTGTCTCCAAAAGTGAAACTAGAATTAGTGACATATATGTGGATATGTGTATTTTTAGCAACGCAATGATATTCCAGTAAGCTTACATCTTTGCTTTTTTGTCTGTGAAGCATTTAATGGTCAAAATTCAAAAAACATTTACTTTGTTTATACAATAGGTTTGATTATTTATTGCAAAGTTTAAATAGATCAGTGGGTAGTAGAATTATGAAATTTTTTTCTCAGCCATTTTCCTGAAGTTAAAGCCATCAGCGAATTGATTGACTGTCATGAACTGTCACACCGAAAGAGATATATTACAGACACTTCTACCTTGGGAATATGTAGTAAAAATCACAGTCCATGGCTGGACAAAATTTTACAGATCATCTTCCTATGAAAGGAATAAGGAACTCTTAAATACTGTTGATAGTGATGAAAATACAAATCAACAAAAAGTTATTATTTTGTCAATGAAATTTTGGCTTGTTTAGGGTGGCAACATCTTACATTGTGTTGTATAGAGTTCAGCTCCCTATTGCAATTTGTCAGTTTTTGCTACTGGTACTTGGAATTTCTTGATAACATTGATAGTACATGCAAATTATATTAAGGTAACAAAGGCAAATGTAATGTAATGTTATTATGAAAAATTGTTTTGTAAAGAAATTTATTACATTTCAAAATAATTGACCCAAGGCCTGATCATTTTGTCCTAATAAAATTGTCCCATATTCCTGAAGAGAGAAAGATGAGAAGTTGAAACCTTTCATCCATGCAACTCAGGACTGTAAACATGGCTGAAAGTCATTAGTAGACAAGAAGTCTTTGTTTTGGAGGAAAGGTCGTAACTTTGTACTAATGACAAAGTTACTAGGGTTAGTTTTAGGGTTTTGAACAATTCCTTATGTAGAATGACGACACTTTATTGCTACATTGATATGAGATTAAAAATATTATTTTGAAAAGTCTAAATCTGCACATTTTTAAGTCAGGTCTTTGTGTATTAAGATTCTTAACCCCAGTTTTTCATGAAACATGCTAAACTACATTTTTAAAATGAAATATTAAAATTATGAGAACCAGTATAAGAAATACACAGGAAACCTGAATTCTAGTATTAGTGTAGTGGTAATCCAGACATACAATTTTAATGGGACTTAACATAGCCTAGAAATTTGTAAACCAACAAATTAAACCTCGATCTATATAGATGAATGGAGCCACCAAATCTCTGTAATTTTTTATTTTTCATTTTAGCATCTCATCAGATCCAGTTAAATCTAAGGCTTGAATTATTCAACGTAAGAGTTGCTTATAGAGAACCATACTGAACAGATTACCTGAATTATTCTCCCTTAGATTCAATTGAATAAAGAATAAAACCAAGGGTCTGCCCTTGACCTTACTATCGATAATTATATAGGGAATTAAAATTCCCAGTCAACTTTTTCTTACAAATCAAGGTAAAAACTGAATTGTTTGATATGTCTTAACATAATGAGAAAGATGGGATCACCTTATTTCAGATTTTTGTGGAAAAAAATTTATGTTTTTGGTTCAATCACCATAAATTCTTATTTCTAATTTTCGAATTCTTCCAAAATTTGATTTAAGGATCCAGTGTCTTCATCTTGAATGTGTGAGAATAGATTAAAATATTCTTCTCTAAAAGTAACGCATTTCAATCAATTCAGAATTTTTATTATTGTCACTTTCTTGCAAAATAAGCTAATTTGTAAATACAGTTCATACTAAAATATACAGTTATTTTCAGAGAAAAATGATGTTAATTATTTGTCATTTAAAGTAGAAAGGGCAAATTGACATAGATTGATTGGAATATTGAGATACATTGTGGGCTTTCAAAACATCCCTTTAGCTCATGTGAACAACAATTAATAATAGTGAGCTACTGTGGTTCAGTTTGGTAGAAGTTAGCTGAATTTCTTCAGATTTTTAACTGGTTTTTACTTGTCAGTTAGCAGGTCGGAAGGGAAAAACTTCTAGTTGTTAGAATGGAATGCTGGCAAAATTTCCCTCGTTGCACACTGCATTGCATTACCCAACTTCATTAGCCCATAATGTGCAGTAAAGTAGGAAGTTAAATTTCATTTCAACACTTAACTGTTAATTTGCCCGTCTTCATTTGCCCACATGGCGCAGAAAAGTAGGATGTAAAACTCCATTCATTTCATTTCAGAATCAGAATATACTCTACAGAATAAAACTTGCTTCACAGTTCCAAAAATCAAATTACTTACAAATCTGTGTTTTATTGTAGGCTACCCAAGATAAGAATGGCAGGATATGGTGCTTACACCAGTCTTCAAGGCAAAACAAAGATGGAGGACACAGAACAATACTATCAACAACCAGCTAAGAAAACCAAGGTGGAATATATGGAAACAGGAACTTGGCAACAACCAGATACAGGTGCTTACACTACTGACTATAGTTCTTATTACAGCATGTATACTGATCCCTCTCAACAACAACAACAGCAACAGCAAACTCAGCAGATTCAATCTCACCAACTACAACAACATCAGCAACAAACTCAACCAACAGCTGTTAGTTCATACAGTCAAGGTAGCTACGACCCAACTCAGTATTCTTCCTATGCCTCCTACTCAAGTTACTATAGTCAACCAACCGAGACTACAGCAGCCCCACCAGCCACTTTTGAGTGCCCTCTATATGACAAGACCAGTAGTAGTTACTATGGTAACGGGCAGCAAGCTAGCTACAGTACAGGTTATGGCAGTGTCGGTAGTAGCTACAGTCATACTAATCAATCTAGAAGTCAAGGCTATGGCTATACTGGTAATGGCACTGGTAGTGGTTATCGAACCAATAGAAGCAGCAATGATCGTGGCAGCTCTAACAGAGTGATCTCCCGGGGAAGAGGTAGTATAGGAAATGGACGAGGAACTGCTGGGGACTCTAGGTCTATGCGTTCTACTGCCAGCAGTGGAAGAGGAATGAATAGAGGGTATACTGATGATGAAATGGATTATACTGATACTATGGGAAGATTCTCTGGCTTCAGTAGAAATTCACGTGGAGGAAGTCTCTCTAGAGGTGGTGGTGGGGCTTTATCAACCAGTATGGGAAGAGTTGGTGCTAGTAGAGGGAGAGGTCGAGGTAGAGGAGCTTCTAATAATGGTAATTGGTTTGTTTTCCTTTTCAGATATTTTAATGGCACCAATACTGCAAATAACGGATCTGTAAGAAACAATAGTATTCTTCAGACTCCCCCAGTTTCAGAGAAAATTTGATTTCAAAATATTTTTTGTCTATAGTTTATAATAGAATAAGGTTCAAACGGTTCAAAAGCTTAAAAAGGGCATCAGAAAGCATGTTCCTTGTAATAAACTTGACTCTAAAACTCACCAATTACCCATTTCAAAATACAGGATATTGAACGGTCTCTGTCCATTTGGAAAATGTTAGGTTAGTTTATTTTAAGGATTGCTACCCCTTTAGATTGAATATAAATTCTATAGACTCAAACTTGGCCAATAAGAGTATATGTTTATTAGGACTTACCTGGTGCCATGATTTAACAACAGAATTTATGTATAAGATGATGAATACAGTAAAATAAGTCATTATTAGGAAACATTTTAAATATTATTATATTTTTCAATATTTCTAGAAGGATTCTGTTTTATTGTTATGACACCTGGCCACGTATTCTCGAAATGATCTTAGTTCTAGGATGTCCTATGTTCTTATCTTCTAACATTGATTCTAGGATCATTTAGAGAATGCGTGGCCAGGTTTGTCCACGATTGAATATAGACTCATTTTGGCCAAGATTTAATATAAACAATTTTGCTTATCCTAGGAGGTAGTATTCCTTCAAAGGAAAGTGTCATCTTAATATTTGCTTTATCAGCATAAGTCAAATTTTATCTGTTTTTTTCAATGTCTGGTTCTCATGCAATTCACCAGTGCCAGTTTACACTATCATCACTTCAGGCTGTTTATTTTCATTCTGACAGGCAGATTCTCAAAGCTTACTAGAATCTGGAAGTGGCGAAAGTGTAAGTTTCTTTGTTAAGTTTTTGTAAAGCAAAGTACCGGTACTTGAGAATTGCAGAAGAACTGAACATTTGATTTTACTTCTGAAAAGTGATATGGAAAACTGATGACAAGTCTGCTAATAACGCAAATATTAGTCATTAGATGATTGTATTTCTTTGATTGGTTAAATCTATATAAACTGTGGAGGGTGATAAGTGACAATAGTCAATAGGTCATTCTATTGACTCTTCATCATGTCATTCTTTTAAATCAATATTTTATGGCCAGTATCAATATTCTTGTCTCCTTACGAATATCTACCAGATGATGTTATCATTTAAAGTTTAATGTAGGTGTGGTCAGGTTTTTTCGCTCTGAAACTTCATTTGTAATGTAAGATTGGATATAATAAAAAAATTCTTGTATTTGCTTGATGCAAAATCTGGCCATACCCGTTCATCAATGTGATATACAGGGCTTGACTTTTGATTTGATTTTGAGAATTTTCATCAAGACAAAAGTGAAATTTGGCAAAACTTTTGTTATTGATAGAAATCTGAGACATTAATGAATCCAATTCTGCCTAATCTGCAATGTCTTTGTGCCTCATCCTGTACCACAGTTCAGGGGTAGGCTTTTTCCTTTCTTCAGACTTCGTACCCCTCGCCTGTATTGTGGTATTCATTAATGGTTCAGCTTTGTATCGGGAGTAACTCCCAGAAAATGTGATCTTTTGAGTCTGGCCCTAACTGTTGACGATATCTCTTCTGTATATCTGTATGTTCTAGGAATCTGTGTGGCCAGATTTGTTGAGCTAGATGAAAATATAGTGTAACAACTTATACATGACTTTATTGTGGAGTAATTGTATTTGCAAGCATCCAGGTTGATGCAGAACACAAGCAATAGAAGTTTATGTTAGTTTTAGCTGGTTTAATATGGGTCTGGTTCAAATTATGCTAAAAGGTATTTTAAAGAGGTTTTCTAAATTTTGTATGTGTATCGGGGACAATGATAACATCGATTGCCCGTCCCTGGTTCTAGCAATTCTACTAGAATGAAGTCACTCCCACAAGGGTCGTATGTGATACAAGCAAATTACGTGGGGGTGACGTCATAAAACACTTAGTTTTAGTGGAATTGCAGGAACTACAAATTGGAATGGTGCAAATTGATGCTATTAGTGTCCCCAATACACATACAAACAATTAGAAAATTTCTTTATAATCACTTTAAATCAAACTAAAATACACTGCTATTGCATTAGCCTAATGTGCACAAATGTAGACTTGCAGGCAGGCAGGCTAGATATTCTTAAGGGATTGTGAAGAGTTTTCTGAACTTTTTATGTGTATCAGGGATACTGATAGCATCTTTTGGATCATTCTAATTTTCAATCAGATGTGGAATTGCAAGAACCACAGAAATCTGAATGGTGCAAATTGATGATATCAGTATCCCGAATGTACATGAACAGTTTAGAAAACCTGTAAACAATCATTTTAAGTCTGGTATAGCTTGTTTCCAACTTTCCGAAAACAAGATTCTGGTACACATGGGTTTTGAGTTAGACTATTTATACAGTCTTAAAATGTGGAAAAGTTATTTTTTTATTTAATGGTTTAGTGATCTGGTATTGAAGAATAGCTCAAAATTCCAGTCAGCCATGAAACTGCTTCTGGAAAATTTGAAGCCACTTGCACCATCTGTAAAAATGTAAAATAAGGATTTGTATTGCATTTAAAAATTTGTACTCTTTGAAATCTCTGAAGCTGGGATGTAAGTCTGGAATATAAATGAATTTGCACAATTTTAACACATAAGATTTCAATGTCATAACTGGTGATTTTAAGTATTCCATTCATTAAGATTTACATCTTCACAATGTCAAGTTATTACCTACTTTGGCTATTGCTGTCATGATATAAGACGAAGTTTGTATTACCTTGACACTCTGAAGATGTTAGATGGAAGGCAGAGCTTGATTTCAGAACTTCAATTCTTGTCATTACATTGAAGTAAAAGCCAACTAAGAATTGATTAACCCAATTCTGTAAAAAATCCTATTATTATAATTTCAGCTAGCCACAAGTGAAATCTCTTTACTCTTTACCATAGAGATTTGTGACATGGCCTGGTCAAAAAACTCTACTGAGAAAGTAATTTTGAAGTCAGTAATGTAATAAATATGCTATGGAAAAGGGAATTTTGAGATCCCTCACGTCATAGTGATCAGTCGTGTATTGTGAATAACTAAAGTGATCATAAGTTTCCAATGCAAACCTCATGCAACTGAGTTGTGATTTGTGTTTGATACTCATTACCATTTTCATTATTTGCAAACATGTGCATCTGATAATGGCTATAGCGTGAGGGTGTGATAGCAAGACTGGAAAGTTTAAATCTATAGGAAAATATTTTTATTTTTGCTCATCCAGGTAAATTCAAAACAAAATCTTGAGCCATTCATTTTATTTTAAGGTAGAATGAATAGTAATAGAAACTATGCAGACTAAACTTATATTTGAATGGTACTTAAATAACCGAAAAATATAGTGGACTGCCGGTGTTTTTGTTTTTATTCAAACCAGACTGAGCAGAAATATCTTTGCTGGACTATACATATATTGCCTTTCTCAGGTGATGGAACTCTATTTGAACTGATTGACAGCTCAATTGGAGATTTCATTAGCTTTGAAATCAAATATTTTGATGACCATCACTTAAATGCAATCTGTAGGCAATTATTGTTTTCCAAAGGAGTATCTAAAACAATACTAATCTTTGATATTGGATTATTCCATTTTTGTTTTTTATGCTATATCTGTTTATTTTCTATATTTTATTAATTGTTGACTCTGAAATTAAGCTCTGCTCCAAAGATATAACTTACAAGCAAATAAATAAATTATTTCATGTCATGACTTCTTCAGGAGCAGAAGGAGATATGAAATGGGAGACCTTACCTGGTAGTCAATCTCGACCAAAAGAGAAGAAACCACAAGCAGCTGCCAAAGCACCTACTGTTGATGCCAGTAAACTTCCACTGCCAGAGAAGATACGTAGATTGAGTTTATTTTTACGCAATGAGAAGCGAGAGGTTAATGAAATTATGGTAAGCATTACGTTAATATGAGTGAAATATTATCAAAACAGTTTAAAAGAATGGTGAAAATGAGATTTTTTCGGATTGTTCACAGATTTGCTATAGTGGATTATTCATGAAATAAGTACTATGATAACTTCTACTTTTGTTTCATTTTCTGATGTCTGAATTTTCAATAGATAGGTAAAATATTCAATATTTCTTTTTGGACAATTTCATGCAACATTTACGAGATAAACAGGTGCCTCAGTATAGAACTCTAGCAACCTTTTTCAAATTGAAAATCTTACTAAGGATTCAAAAGGAGTCAAATGTGATTCTGAAATCTAATCTTTTCATTGCAATTTACAGCTGTTCGAGAACTCCATCATGTCTTGTAAATTGGGAATAAAGCCAGATTTCTTGATAGATGAAATGATTCAAGGAAAGAATGGATCCTTTTTCACTGGCCGTTTGATTTTTGATGGTGTGTTTTTGGCACGCCATATTGCCAGTAATAAGAAAGTTATCAAGTTAACCTGCTATAAAAGAGCTGTAGAAATGTTCCGAACCATGTCTGTTACTGAAATCATGAGCCAGAAGGATATAACAGCAGAAGAGCTGAAGCAGAAGCTGGATAATCTGAATTCCACAGTGGCCAAGGTTGAGAAAGAAACCATTAAAGATTTGCCAACTGTTGAAGTGCTGAAAAAATTACAAGAAATTCTAAAGAATCCAAAATACACTCCTTCTAATGCTGTTAGTAACTTGGAGCAGGCTGCTGCAGTCGCAAAGTGTCGTATTCGTTGTCGTTATGATGTAGAACAGGGTCAATCAACTACTGGAAGAATATATTTCAAAGGAAGCTATTATATTGATAATGTTGTTCAAGGTCTTGGATTCTCTGTCTCAAAGAAAACTGCCAAAGCTAACTGTTACAATATGGTAGTACAACGACTGATGACATGTAAAGCAGAAGATATTTTGAGTGGTTTGGATCCATCCATTGGAGAAAAGGCTTTATCAGAACTGAATGCTAGTATGAAAATCGTACCCAAGAGTGCTAAGAATCTGGATTTAAGGGAGAAGTTTGTTAGATTAAAGGAACTTCTAGCTGTATCTGATTTGACTCCAGATGTGATCACTGCCATGGATTTGATGTTTGCAGATGTTAAACTCACACCAGTTTGCCTGTATCGTCAAGGTCCAAAACAAGATAATCCAGATCAAAAGCCAGTGCTCTTCTGTAATTTGTATCTGGCTGGTCGTCTGATGGCTATTGGTGAAGCTTCAAATAGAACAGAGGCACAGATAGATTCATATACCAATTCAAAAGATATCGTCTTAACAACTGAGCCAGAGGTTATCCTGACACAACATTATAAACTACAAGCCCATGATCAAGCTGCTCCAGATGTAATAGATTTTAGAGTGAAAGGAAATTGTGTACTGAGGAACAACTGCACCAATTTTCATCGACTCCAGAGGACCAAATTGAAGGTATCTGATACTCCAGTGAAAGACATTGTTTTATATGAACATGCCAGTTGGTCATCTGATCGTAAAGTTCAAGGATTCTGTATTCTACAACACTCTTGTTTTCTCAATAATATGCTTCTGGAATGGGAATTTAGTGATGATAATAATTCTACACAGTTCAGGTCAGTTGTTAGTCCTATAAAGTGACAGGTTGACCATTGTCGTGGGATTAATCTGGGTCTTGAATATATGTAAATAAGTACTAGAAATGATCAAAATTGCAAACTAGGAATTTCACTTTCTATTTCTATATATGTCTTTTCTATATTTGGCAGAGTCTTAAGAAAAGAAGAGACATCATTTTAATTTTCAAATGCGGATAAATCTAGACACACATGGGTTCAAAGGTTCAAATTTCAAAGTTGTGAACACTATTACTGATTGGCTTGGCAAAATAAACTGAGTCTGTGTGATTGGTCTAACGGATGGTTAACCTGTCCCTTCAAACTTGTAAACACTCCAGAGTTGATATCTTATCTCATTAGGCATCAAATGGTTGGAACTGATTTGTATTAGCTGGAAGGTATGATGGATGTCTGAATTTATGTAAACCAATATGCTCTCAATGTTTACATTGGTTTCAAGAACATGAAAAATCTTTAAAGAAAAAAAATTTTGAACCTATTTTTGCAAGCATTTATTGCATAAAGTGTTCAACAAGGCTATTTCCACTTTCACAATAAGTAAGCAATAAACAATTCACATTTCATCAGTAAATAGAGTCAATTAATGATATGAATTGCTGTAGAGTTCCAGGTCTTTTTTCTGCACCAGATTTGGCTAATACAGATAGGCCAGTACATAGTATATTGTTGTCTTTATAGATGTGATATGAAGATACAGAAGGAGAATATTGGTACTCAGCCTGCTAAATCTGTTAGTAAAATCGGTTCACGAAATCTAGCTGCTGCTGATATATTGTTTAAACTGTATGAAACACAACCAGTAATACAAGTAATTATAAATTCTATCATTTGCTTGGCACAAACAAACATGATTGGGTGAAATGTTGATTATTACATGTATTATTTAACAGATGGTGGGGATTATCTGGCATATGTCATTGTTATCTCAAATCTAGGACATCTTTGAATAAATAAACACAATGTATCATTGTATATCTATAACAATATTCTAAAATCAGGAATACACCTTTCTTATATACAGGTACACATCTATATACATTACATATCTAATAGGAAACTACATGTACTATATCCGAAATTAACATCAGTCTAGTAATCCTTGTAAGACATTTAGAAGTATCACAGCACATTAAGAAACAACAGTTTTTATGGATATAGACTTCTATTTATTATTGAACACAACGTTTCATGACACATACAGGTAACATTATCAAGTGATCACTTGATAACGTTGCCTCAGGAAGACCAAAAATAAGATTGGAAGATGTTACATGGGTACATGCATCTTGAACACACACAAAAATACGATTTGACTGAAACCTGTACTTGGCTGGAAGGGATTGTAAAGAGGTTTTCTAAACTTTTTATGTGTATTGGGTACAGTGTTAGCATGTATTTGCACCATTTCCAATTTTCAATTAGACGTCTGGTTTCTGGTTCCTGCAATTCCATTAAAACTAGCGTTTGATGATGTCACTATCGCAAAGGGCCTTATATAGAATAAGCATATTTTGCGATAGTGATGTTACAAAATGCCTAATTGAATTAAAGAAACCACACACATCTGATTGAAAAAAAGAATGGTGCAAATGGTTATTAACTGGTTTCCCACTACATATAAAAAGTTTATAAAACCTATTTACAATCCCTGTAAAGGAATAAGAGAAAATTTTTTGAACAACATAATGTTAAACTGAAAATTATACACTCTGTAAAATTATTTAATTTCATTCTAAAAAAATATATTATTTCAGATAACAACATATACCAAGATGGAGGAATCAACCAAATGCATCACTTTTGATGAAGTTCTCGATGCAGCCATTGAGCTTCATAAAGCTGCTAAAAATGCTGGAGAAGATGTAGAGATGGCTCCACCATCTGAGGAAGCAAAGCCAGTAGAAACAGAATTCAAAATGGAACAAGATGTTAAAACTGAAGAAGTTAAGAAGGAAGAAGTTAAGACTGAAAAAGTTAAGACTGAACCTAAAGATGACGATGTGGAAATGAAGGAAGAAAACCAAGATGAAAACAAACCACACACATTTCAAAGACGCAGACGGCCATTTAAGTATTTGACAAAATTTATCTTACAAGATGTCAAACGAAGGGTAGATGAGTTCACTAAGGTCAAATCTTTAGAAGATATGCTATTTGGACCATCCTATCCATCTCAAATTGGTCGCCAAATAGCTGGAATATTAAGAAATTCCACGGTTCCTTTAAGATACATGACAAGACCAATCAGAGGCAGCATGTACACAATCGTTACCCAAAGTATGACTCCCAATGAAATGGCTGCATTCCTGAAGGAAAGGTGCGGATCCTCTGGAAGATTTAAGTTGGTGGACAAATCTGAATTACCTAGCCACAAGGATATTGTACCAGAATTAACCAGTGGAGAGATCCAAATTTCTCAGAATTCTCAGCCCAACCAAGATCACTTCTTTGATGATGTCTCAATAGAGTCTAATAGTGAATTCCATACTGCCATGTCTTCTCAACTAGGTGACAATTCAGCATACCAGTCAACATATGATACAACTCTTACTTCTAACAGCTCTGCTAACTCATCTCTTGTAACACCTAAAAAGGAAGATATGAGTCTTCCGAGCACTCCCATACAAGGTAACACCAGCACACCTAAACAAAATATGACCAGTACTCCTGTTCAAAAGAAAACACCAGCTTCAAAGAAGAAACTGTAAAATGGTTCTTTATTTATTGACAATTATTATTAGTTTTATTTGAGACTATTGTTTTTATGCTGAATTTTATTGAAAGTTAGTGAATTCCTGAGAGAAATGGAATTATTGGTGTAAATAATGTGTCCAGGAGCCAGTGTTAAATTTTTGATTATATTACTTGATATAGATGGTGTTCAATTAACGTGATATGTCTTGTGGGAAAACAGTACAATTTGAGTTAAAATCAATATAAAGAAGTCTATACAGGTCTGTCACAGGCAAAGAGTTCAACATGGGCATAGTTTATGAACAGATTGACAGAACAGAAACAATGTGTATTTCTAATAATTAGAACCTGACTTTTAAACTTTTAACTTTTTTGAATGCACTTCTTTGAATAATGTCTCATATGCTTGAGTGTTCAGAAAAGGTCAACAGATACTGGCTCGTTCCACATTTTATATTTTTCATCCAAGAGTTGAGCTAAACAAATAGTTTTGACTCTTAAATGATCTGTTTGGCATTGACATCTAATTCAAGTCAGTACAGTACAGTAGACTTCGGATCAAGAAATTGAGGGGAAAGCTTTTGTGGGTATTTGTTTTCAAATTTGGGAACAGCGTCGTTCCCCATACCTGTACTATAATTTTAATTGTGTCATCCACAGTACATTTTGTCATCATTTTTTCAAATAAATAATATATATGTGTACATGTCGTCGTTTATTGATTTAAGTTCGTCCTTCGCCAATTTTTTTTTATCTATTCTAGAGAGTCAAGAATATATTCCCGTCACCCACGTCCGTCAACAATAAGGCACAAGTTTTGACTGATTTCGATGAAACTTGGTATGGTTGTTTGTAATCACTCAAGGATGAACCCTATTAAAAATCAGAAAAATCGAAAAATATTAAGTATGAGTTATTGGCCTTGTTCTTGAAAACGCATTCAATTTAAGCTTGTAAACACTCCAGAAGGTTCAATTCTTAACGGATTTAGATGAAACTTGGTATGAGTGTTAGTAATCACCCAAGGATGAACCCTATTGAAAATCAGAAGAATCGAAAAATGTTTAGTATGAGTTATTGCCCTTGTTCTTGAAAACGCGTTCGATTTTCAGCTCTTTAACAAACTAGAAGGCACAATTCTGGACCGATTTTGACGAAACTTGGCATGAGTGTTTATCACCCAAGGATAAACCCTACTGAAAATCCGAAAAATCGAAAAATATTTAGTATGAGTTTTTGCCCTTGTTCTTGAAAACGCTTTCAAATTTAGCTCTGAAACACTAAAAGGCACGATTGTTGCTGGATTTTGACAATACTTGATTTTATTATTCAGTCCCTCGCTGAAGATTGAATATTTGCCTTCTAGAGTTTTCATGAGCTAAAGATTGAACACGTTTTCAAGAACAAGGGCAATAACTCATACTCAATAGTATTCAGTATCGCCCTAAAGAGTTCAAAAGAAGTGTATGACTGAAGGTTGAATATTTCATACTGGTGATTGTTACTGTACTGCTAAATATTTTTATTCAAAATCAAAGCTGTCAGTGGGCGTATATTGTCTTGCCTGGCAAGCTATCTTTATTTATTTAAATACATGATTTATTTTTATATCAACAAAAGCCTTTTAGGTACACCAAAAAAAACATATTTTTATTTATATTTTTCTTCATATGTTATGCACAACTTCGAAATTTCGAGTAGTGGAATCCATAATTTCGATTTGTGTAAAATATATTCAGAAAAATAAAATTAAATTGTATACGCCCCCATGGAATTGTGTAAATTTCAAATAAAAGTGAGAGTTGAACAAAACCAATCACGAAGATGATTAATGGTGATCTCAGTTATAAAAAAAACTGATGCTTTGACAGGATGAAGATATGAGCTAGGCTTTAAATAGGCTGATACATCGTATCACGAATACGGGTTTTGACATGGTCGAATTAAAGAAGTATATGACGAAAGGCGGTGTGGTTTGGACACGATGTAAATAATTCAACTTCTGTCAAAGTGATGTGTTGGTTTTCGTTGTAAGGCCTCAGCTCTCAGCTAGAGAATAAGATCGCAAGAAACGCCATTCACGCGCATTTCGAGAGTACGATAGTAAATTCGTTGATTAGTTATCATCCATTGTACCACTTTACCAAACTTCATAGATCAGATCATATGATGGATTTTATTTCTCATACCTGTGAAATATGGTCAATTATAAAGTTAATATAGTATAAATATAACAAAAACCCAAGCACGAACGATAACGACATAACGACAATCGATATCCAAGAAACAGTTTGGCAATACATAATTGGTTGCTACAAATGAATTATTAATATGAGGAAGTATATCAATCACGGATGAAGAAGTATTTCACAAAGTAACCTAATTTCGTGGAAACCTATTATTCGTGGATTTCCGGAAATGTTTAATGATTTATTTGAGCGACCTTGCGCGACCTCCGCATTAGATTGTTTTAATAAACATGGGTTTTCTCTACAATATCAGCTAGTAGAATGAATCCAGTAGTTTCAAGCAAAGTAAACTGTATTAATGTATACTTTGACAAATACAAAATGGCGGATTTCAGTTATTATACGCCCACATGAATATGTGGTCGTATATTGTCGTCGCCCCTGTCCGTTGGTCCGTCGGTCCGTCCGTCAACATTTCTTGTGAGCACTATAGAGACTACAGTTTTTATCTGATTTTGATAAAACTTGTTGTGATGCTTTAGATTGATAAGATCTCGGTCAAGTTCGAATTTGACATATTTTCGATGAAGGGTTTTTGAGATATTGCCCTTGACTTAGAACGCCTTGAAATTTGTTAAAAATTGTTCGTGAGCAGGATTGAAGCTACAGTTTTCATCCGATTCTGATGAAACTTGGTGTGATCTTTGGAATTCATAAGATCTCGGACAAGTTCTAACTTGACGCATTTTCGATGAACGGTTTTTGAGTTATTGCCCTTGACTTTGTTAAAACGCGTTGAAATTTGTTAAAAAGAGTTCGTGAGCAGGATTGAAGCTACAGTTTTCAACCGATTCTGATGAAACTTGGTGTGATCATTGGAATTGATAAGATCTCGGACAAGTTCTAACTTGACGCATTTTCGATGAACGGTTTTTGAGTTATTGCCCTTGACTTCGTTAAAACGTGTCGAAATTTGTTAAAAATAGTTCGTGAGCAGGATTGAAGCTACAGTTTTCAACCGATTCTGATGAAACTTGGTGTGATCATTGGAATTGATAAGATTTCGGACAAGTTCTAACTTGACGCATTTTCGATGAACGGTTTTTGAGTTATTGCCCTTGGCTTTGTTAAAACGCGTCAATATTTGTTAAAAATAGTTCGTGAGCAGGATTGAAGCTACAGTTTTCAACTGATTCTGATGAAACTTGGTGTGATCATTAGAATTGATAAGATCTCGGACAAGTTCTTACTTGACGCATTTTCGATGAACGGTTTTTGAGTTATTGCCCTTGACTTTGTTAAAATGCGTCGAAATTTGTTAAAAATAGTTTGTGAGCAGGATTGACGCTACAGTTTTCAACCGATTCTGATGAAACTTGTTGTGATCATTGGAATTAATAAGATCTCGGACAAGTTCTAACTTGATGCATTTTTGATGAACGGTTTTCCAGTTATTGCCCTTGACTTTGTAAAACGCGTCAAAATTTGTTCGTTAGCACAATAGAAGCTACAGTTTTCAACCGATTCTGATGAAACTTCGTGTGATCATTGAAATTGATAAGATCTCGGACAAGTTCAAACAAGAGATATTTTTGATGAACATTTTTGAGTTATTGCCCTTGACTTTGTAAACACGCGTCAAAAGTTGTTTTTTGCCCTTGATTAGAGCTGTGTGATTTAATGTTGTATTTGGGTTATTGATATTGATTTTAAAAAATTTGTGGAATTATTCAGCATAAATAATTTCTTCAATATGAGAAAATTCGTATTTTAGTCACTAAAGACTGTTTTATTATTTCTGACAGCTGCCAGTGGGCGTATGTTACCTTGCAACGCAAGCTATCTTTACCAAACGTCACCATTTTTTATCGGCAGAATTTCCTTATAATCCCGCAAGCGGTACGGTAATCGGAATTCCAAGTGTCGTCTGTTAGAATGTAGTCACCTGATTAACTAGCGGATTCCGTGTCAGCAGAAAATTTCTATGGAACACAAAGTGGACCATATTCTTTTGTTGTTTCAGTGACTTTTAGCAATAAATCACGCTACGTATCTTATTTTGTCAGTCACTATTTTTTTTTAAATCGTGGTTCTTTGAAGGAATTGTCACTAGGTATAATGAATTGATATTAAAGATAAATACCGGTACTAACAGAAGTTAATTATACCACCCGGTATCCATACGTGTTTTTCGAGACTTATTTATAGATCAAACATTGTACACGAAAATAGGTGACGCATTCTGCCACTGTTGCCGAGTTGGTTGCTCATGAAATATGGGTCAAAGTGAAGGATTCATAAAGAAAATCGAAATAAACCAATTTTAATTATTTTGTAGAATATCTGAGGAAACATCTCAGACATAAAAATTTGTTATCGTTTTTTTAACTTTGACGAAATTCGGTGTTGAATCCTTTTATCCACGAAAATAGGTTACACCACTGTATTTGAAAGTAGTTTGATAATCACAACAGCCACAAAAAGTGGTGAAGACCAACCCTATCGTGTCCGGACCACTGTAAAAAGTGGTGGGAACCGGTTCCTCTGTCCCCACCGTGATCTGCGCCCATGCCTGGAAGGCTCTCGTATATCTCCGAGTCAATAAACATTTTAAAAGCTCAGAGCCGTGTATAGAGAGAGTCTGGCCAACTTGTGATCTCGCCGCGCTGAACTATGATTGGCGCAGAGTGGTAACGTGATTGAAGGCCGCCATATTGTTACCCTTCCCACGACAACATTCGATGATTTCAGGGGTTTTGCAAATTGTGTTATGTTCAGGTCTAAAAACTGGATATAATAGATATGGAAACTTTGTGAGAGGGTTTCTTTCCACGCACTGGCTATCTAAGCCTAGGCCTAGACGAGGAGCATGCACTATGGCTTCTGAGACACTGTCAGTGTCAACAACATTTCTGATAGGCCTACACTTAATCGATCGATTTATGTTTTTCTTTAAATGTGAAATTCTAAGACTATTTACTTATTTAGTATTTAGTATTATTTACTTCCAATCACCAAAACAAACAGTATAATTTAAAGGTGTGCGCCATATTGGTGCTTGTACGGTGAGGCAAGGGGCCATGGCTCCTAATTCTAATATTTGTGCTGGTCCTGATTTTCAACTCAAAACCCCTCCACCACCACCCTTCTCCCTATCAATATCATTGATTTCCTAAATGCCTATCAGTATTACTCCACCCCCTTTAGAGATCAAACGAAACGCCACCATTGTTTATGTTATTTCATTATTGACATTCGCAGAAAAATATGGAAGGGCAATGTAGACTGTGGGTCTAGACTATAATGTGAACACTATGTCTTTTGGGCCAGTCACTTGTGTAAATTTTGGTTTCTCTTCCAGAATCACTTCGACGACAGTCAAAGAGAAACAGATCGCCAGGACAACAGCTGCCAGCTGAAGCAAAATGGTTTCAAAGCTGAAATGATGATTATTGAGTGGTGTGATATAACTTTCATGCCTTCATGACATATAATAAATTGTGCTGATTGAAACT